GTGGCCGTGGGGTTGAGACGGCTCTCACTGTCTAATCCTGTTGGGTTCGGCAAAACATGTAAAACACTAAACACAACTGAAAATGTCCAGAACAAAGCAACATAGACATAGACATAGAACATCTTTCTGTCCAGGTGTTTTATGTTAGCTCTTAAATGTACAGAAATTCTTCCATCCCACCTGATTCCTACTTTTCTGTTACAGCTCCGGGTTTACACCCAGTTCCTGGCGGAGTATTTCCAGTACCACCTGCAGCTGTTGTTTTAATGAAACTTCTCCCTCCTCCCATCTGTTTCCAGGTTAGTTCATAATTTTCATGATAGATACTTGCTCTGTGAGTTATAGTACCTGTGTGCTTTTTTCTTTGTATCACAGGAAATATAAAGTAGTGCATTTTAACTTGTCAGATTATGGGGATTAAAATTTATTTGTATCAATGTCACTAATTATCATAAATGCAAATTAGAGGTATAATGAAATATCACCTCGCACTTGTCAGTATGGCTATTATTAATAAACAAACAAATGTTGGTGAGAATGTGGAGAAAAGGGAACCCTAGTGCACTGCTTGTGGGAATACAAGTTGGTACAGTCACTGTGGGAAAGAGTGTGGCAATTCCTCAAAAAATTTGAAGTAGAATTACCATCCAGCAATCCTACTTCTGGATACTTACCCAAAGAAATTCAAACACTAGTTCAAAAAGATACATGCACCCCTATGTTCGCTGCAGCGTTATTTACAATATCCAGGATATGGAAGTGAACTGGGTGCCCATTAGCAGACAACTGGATAAAGGAGATGTGGTACATACATATATAATAGACTATCACTCGGCCATAAAAAATAATGAAATCTTACCATTTGTAATAACATGGATGCACCTACAGATATTATGCTAAGTGAAATAAATCAGAGGAAGTCAAATACCGTATGATTTCACTTATATGTGGAATCTAAAAAAACAAAATAAATGAACAAACAAACTCATGGATACAGCGAACAAGCGATGATTGCCAAATGGGAGGGGAGTTGGGGGACTGAGTGAAAAAGACAGGTTAAGAAGTACAAATTGGCAGTTACAAAGTAGCTGTGTGGGATGTAAAATACAGCATAGGGAATATAGTGAAGAATATTTTAACTGTATATGGTGCTAGATAGGTACTAGACTTATTAGGGTAGGGTGATCACCTTATGAGTTATGTCTAACCACTATGCTGTACACGTGAAACTAACATATTGAATGTCAGCTATGCCCAGGTAGCTCGATTGGTTAGAGCGTCATCTTGATACTGTATTGCAGGTTCGATGAATGTATAAATACGTGGAATAGCAAATTGATGTTTCTCTCTGTCCCTCTCTAAAAATCAAGAAATTTTAAAAATTTTAAATAAAGAATGTCAACTGTAATTAAATTTTTTCCTAATTTTAATAAAAATTTTAAAAATAAAATAAAATTTATATCAAAATAGGGTCCTTTTGTACAAGTGGATGAACTAATGGAAATTTTCCGAAGATGCAAGATACCAAATAGTAAGTGGTGGAAGCTCCTCTTCTTAGAGTAGAATTCTCATTGTCGCCTCCTGTTGCCACTGAGGTTTCTGAAACCAGCCAGCCATTCTGTAGAAGTGCAAAGAAATCAGCAGTGATCCAGGCCTTCCTGGGCACAGAGACTTCTTTGTATTCTAATTTCACTAAGTAAAATGTGATAAAGGCTTATCTTTTCAATTCATGTGAACATGCACTATTATATTAGCCTTGGCTTAAGAAAACAATTTTATTGATTTTAACAGCAGTGTTTGTCTTTTCCTTTAATTATTAAGTGTCAGTACTATCCCATGCTTTGCTAACAGTAGGCTATGAAATGAACTATAAAGTATCCAAAGTAGCGCATACGTATTTTTTGATAGCAGTGTAATTTTCAGCATCTTCCAAAAGTCCGTTTTGTTTTGTTTCAATAGCTGTTGAGGAAGCTGTGAGAATCATTACTGGCGGAGCCCCAGAGCTAGCCGTGGAAGGCAATGGCCCAGTGGAAAGCAATGCGGTGCTCACCAAGGCCGTCAAAAGGCCCAATGAGGATTCAGATGAAGATGAGGAAAAGGGGGCTGTCGTCCCTCCCGTTCATGACATTTATAGAGCCCGGCAGCAGAAGCGAATTCGGTGAAATGGGCTCAAAACCTGCCTCTGAAAGAAAACTGTTACCCAGGATTCTTTTTTGCCTCTTAAGTCATATGTTTAAAAGAGACAATGCTTTGTTACAAGGTTCTTGGAAACAAAGTTGTATTGTCATTGGTGCCTCTATCATATGGTTCTTGAGAAAGAAAATAAACCAACCTGTGGGAATCTTAGAATGTGGAACTTACGCTCTGAGCAAAATCAGGTTTTCAGAAATGTGAGAACAGTGCAAAATGGCAGGACTGCATTTTGTTCCCTCCTCAAGGGTGTCTTGTGTGTGCCGCTTGAAGACTTGTGAGTTTTCAACAGTTTTATTTTAAAAACTGTATGGCTTATGATTGTAAAGCATTTTATCACATTTTTCTGAAAACAGTTGTTCTCAGTCTGCTTATGTAGAGTCCTGCCTTATTGTTTGTTTTTTATTTATGGCAGAATGTATGGAATCTGTTTTGTAGTTTAAAATTTTAAAACAATCCTTTAAAAAATAAAAGGCTCTCAAAAATGTCTTGCCTCCTTCTGCTACTTTCATTCAGAATTTACTTAAAATAGCTAACTTATTTTATGTTATTCAACCAGTGCAGTTTACAACTAAAAGTCAGCCCTGGCTGGGTAGCTCAGTTGGTTAGCGTGCCATCCTGATACGCCACAGTTGCGGGTTCCATCCCTGGTCAGGGCACATACAAGAATCGATCAGTGGGTACATGAATAAGTGGAACAACACATTGATCGATCTCTCTCTCTCTGCCTCTCCCGCCCTCCCCCTCTCTCTCCCTTCCTCTTTCTCTAAAATCAGTTTTTTAAAAAAGTCAACAATACAATGAAAAGTCATACTTACTATGTTTAATTACGTCCTCCCTGATCATTTTTAAGAAGCAAATGGAATATTTTTAAAAAACTCAATGCACTTCCCCCCAATTAACCTGAGGCAGATAGAGATATTTTATCATCATCTCTCTTAAAAGCAATTTGTGGGAATTCTTTTAACCACCCATTGTCTTGTTGGAATATAACTATTCCGGAAGGTGCTCAGTACTCAAAAACACGTTTTTCATAGACTGCACTGTAGAAAACTATAGCCAATTAACCAAATTTAATTACAGGGCGACCAAACTTATCATGCAAATAAGTCCAAAGCATTAGGTTTTGTCCTTTGTTAGTTATATTTCCTCCTCTTGACTCATTTCTAGAAAATCTATACAGAAAGTTAGTTGAGACTAAGGGTTGTGATTCAGCATTAAAAGAAAAAAAATCAGAAAAAAATGAGAAAAGTATAGCTATAACGAAACTACCTTACCTACTAGGTACACAATTTAGAATTTTAATTCAAATGTGATTAAATATTAATCTTAAAATTTTAAATCATTTAAATATTTATATAAAATTCTTAAAGTAGAATGAAGGTTATTGAGTCACTCTCATATAAACGTGTAGTTAGGTTATATTTACATAAGTTGATCACAAGCGTGTGTCTACTGTTTTTTCCCATTAAAGCTAAAATTGCCTCAAAACACAATCAGCTGGCTTTCATTTGGATTTTGTCATCCTCAAGTGCATTTTCAGGCTCTGTGGGCTTTTTATATCATGGTTATCAACCAAACCATCTGAAAGGCACAGGTTGTACCATATAGCATAGACCTGAAAATAGAATATAGAGCTAGGGAATCCTGCCTGAAGTGCCCTCTTTGGATAGTGTTTTGAAGAAAAACAAAATGGTTTCGAGTACCTATAATGGTCTCTAATAGTGTTCCCCTGAATGACAAAACAAAGGGACACAAATATGCATGAGCATGTTTTTTCCCTTAGCATTGTAGTACAGAGAAAACACACACCCCTATCTACCAAGGTGAGTAGTGCCACTACATACTTTATCATAATTGCTTCTATTGCATTTGTTTCTAAGATATTTTCCCCTAGAAATTATTTGACCTTTAAATGTAAAAAGGATTATTTCTTGTTAGAAGAAAACATTTTCTAATGTTCTAACACCTATAGACATATGAGTTTTTAGTTTTTAATATGCTTCTGTGTCTGAATATTTGACAGTTCCTGCTGTGAACATAGCTGACCTGTAGATGTTAGAGATCTGGACTCACTTTTGGAAACAAGTGCAAACTCTCCATGGCACAGCCAGTCCCACACATCCAAGGACCCGCAGGTATCTGTATTGCTGGGCCCAGAGAAATTGCCAAAAAAAAGCCATATTTTTCCTTTTTTATAAAAACAATGACAATATCCCTGCAACTCTAGAACTGCGTAAAATTTAAGGATTGTAAGTCCATTATAAAAAGTTAATCATGCCCTGGCTGGTGTAGCTCAGTGAATTGAGCCCGGGCCTGCAAACCAGAGGATCACGGTTCAATTCCCAGTCAGGGCACATGCCTGGGTTACAGGCCAGTTCCCAGCAGGGGACATATGAGAGGCAACCATACATTGATATTTCCCTCTCTCCTTCCCTTCCCCTCTAAAGATAAATAAATAAAATCTTTAAGTCCGGGCCTGCAAACCACATGATTGCAGTTCGATTCCCAGTCAGGGCACATGTCTGGGTTGCAGGCAGGTCCCCTGCAGGCCAGTTCCCAGCAGGGGATGCGTGAAAGGCAACCAAACATTGATGTTTCTCTCCCTCTCTCCTTCCCTTCCCCTCTAAAGAAATAAAAAATAATAATAAATAAAAAAATAAGATCTTAAAAAAAATTAAAAACCCTTTAAAAAAATCTTTAAAAATAATTAAACTGTCCTATGGCAGGAAACGTCAAACAAGAAGTTATAGCCATGTTACCACAGCTACCTGGTAAATGTAAAACGATAACCGAATTGTACCATTGGAAAAAAATGAGAAAATAGACCACTTAGTCAGCATTTTTACTTTGGTCAATAATTATAAATTTATTTTGTGATTTTATAACCCTCCATCATCAGCCTTTACTTAATAAAACTAAGAATTCATTTACACAGCAATAAAAGTATAATTACCATGTTCCTAAATTGTTTTTTACATTTAAATAAACTTCATTAAAGTTGGTAGTTCTTCCTTGACTTGGACATTTGTCAAGTAAAATTATGTTTTTTAAAATAAAAATTTCTTAAGTCTTAAAAGGTAATTCACACCAAAAACAAAACTCAGGTACCATGTTACTGATTTAAGTAAAAATCTTAAATATTCAACAGAAGTGTTAGCTTACCAAGTTTTGGGAATAAAAGTCAAGAAAATTCAGCAGCTTACCAACCAAATTTTCTTCTCTGTCTCAGCCCTCACCAAAGTTCTACTCTGAGCACAAAGACAATACTTTAAAAAGCAGAGGCCAATATCAATAAGGGGGTGGAAGGAAGAGGAGTGTTATTTCCATTTTAAGGTTGCTTTTAAGTCAGAAGTTACACTTTATAGGTTCTCAATATTTAGTTCAGGTAAGACAAACCTAAAAATGGTGCAATCTGACTATTGCTACTAACTAAAGACACATCTGATTTCAAAACTAAATGAGCCCTGGCTGGTGTGGGTTCAGTGAACTGAGTGCCAGCCTGCAAATCGAAGGGTCACCAGTTTGATTCCCAGTGAGGGCACATGCCTGGGTTGCAGGCCAGGTCCCTAGTGGCAGCACATGCAAGAGGCAGCCACACACTGATGTTTCGCTCTCCTTCTCACTCCCTTACCCTCTGTCTAAAAATAAAATAAATAAAAAGCAACAAAAACCCCAAAACCCTAATAAATGATACTGACTTCTGGCCAAGATGGAGGTGTAGGTAGATGCACTTTGCCTCCTCGCACAACCAAAAGAAGGGCAACAACAGATTTAAAAACAAGATAACCAGAAAAACTGGACTGTATGGAAGTCCAACAACCAACCAAGGAGTTAAATAAGAAACATTCATTCAGACTGGCAGGAGGGACTGAGACAGGCAGCCGGGGTGGAGAGGATGCATGGCAAGGCAATGGTCGGTGGACAGGAACAGGCAAGGCAGCGACTGGCGGAGCAGGTGGTTCCACATTTGCATGTGGATAAACTGGGAGGAACACCTGGGGAGTGAGACAGGCCTGCAACCCAGGGTTCCAGCGCAGGGAAATAAAGCCTCAAGACCTCTGACTGTAACAATCTGTGGAGGTTGTGGTGGCAGAAGAAACTCCCAGCCTCACAGCAGAGTTCACTGGAGAGGCCCACAGGGTCCTAGAACGTACACAAACCGACCTACACAGGAATCAGCACCAGAAGGGCCCAGTTTCCTTGTGGGAAGTGGGGGAAGTGAATGAATCCGGCAGAGAGTGAAGCAAGTAGCACTGTCCCCTCTTGGACCCCTCCCCCACATACAGCACAACAATGCAGTGACGTGGTTGCCCTGCCCTGGTGAACACCTAAGGCTCCACCCCTTACTATGTAACAGCTATACCAAGACAAAAAATATAACCCAAATGAAAGAACAGACCAGAACTTCCAGCCAAGATGGAGGAGTAGGTGGGCACACTGTGCCTCCTCACACAAGCAAAAGGATGATAACAAAATCAACAACAAAAAATAACCAAAACTGCCAGAAAATTGAACTGTATGAAAGTCCAACAAGCAGGGAGTTAAAGGAGAAACACTCACCCAGACCGGTAGGAGGGGTGGAGATGGGCGGCCGGGGAAAGAGGACTAGCGGTGAGGCAGCAGCTGGCAGAGTGGGCGGTCCCACATTCGAGTGCAGATAAACCAGGAGGAACAACTGGGGAGCAAGACAGACCACTCAATCTAGGGTTCCAGCAGGGGAAAAAGCCTCAAAACCTCTGACTAAAAAATCCTGTGGGAGTTGAGGCAGCAGGAGAAACTCACAAGAGAGTTTGCTGGAGAGACTCAGAGTTCTAGAGTGTACACAAAACTTACTGACCTGGGAATCAGCATCAGAAGGGCCTAATTTGCTTGTGGGAAGCAGAGGAAGTGACTGAAAGCTGGCAGAGAGCTGAGCAAGCGGCATTGTTTCCTCCTGACCCCTCCCCAACATACAGCACAACAATGCGGCCACGTGGGTTGCCCGCCCTGCTTAACACCTAAGGCTCCGCCCCTTAGTACGTAACAGGTGCTCTGACATAAAAAAAATATGGCCCAAATGAAAGAACAGATCAAAGCTCCAGGAAAAATACCACTAAGCAACAAAGGGATAGCTAACCTATCAGATGCACAGTTCAAAACACTGGTAATCGGGACACTCGCAGAATTGGTTAAGTAGGGTCACAAAATAGAGGAAAAAGTGAAATAAAGAAAAACGTACAGGGAACCAACAGTCATGAGAAGGAAACCAGGACTCAAATCAACAGTTTGGAGCAGAAGGAAGAAATAAACTTTCAACCAGAGCAGAAGGAAAAAACAAGAATTCAAAAAAATGAGGACAGGCTTAGGAACCTCCAGGACAACTTTAAACATTCCAACATCCGAATCTTATGGGTGCCAGAAAGCAAACAGGAAGAGAAAGAAACTGAAAACTTATTTGAAAACATAATGAAGAAGAACTTCCTCAAGCTGGCAAATGAAATAGACTTCCAGAAAGTCCAGGAAGCCCAAAGAACTTGGACCCCAGGAGGAACACACCAAGGCACATCATAATGACATTGCCCAAGATTAAAGATAAGGAGAGAATCTTAAAAGCAGCAAAAGAAAAGGAGACAGTTACCTACAAAGGAGCTCCCATAAGACTGTCAGCTGATTCCTCAAAAGAAATCCTGCAGGCAAGAAGGGGAAGTATTCAAAGTCATGAAAAGCAAGGACCTACAACCAAGATTACTCTGTCCAGGAAAGCTATCATTTAGAATGGAAGGGCAGATAAAGCTCTTCTCAGATAAGGTCAAGTTAAAGGAGTTCATCATCCCAAGCCCTTATATAAAATGCTAAAGAGACTTATCTAAGAAAAAGAAGATGGTCAAAAATATGAACAGTAAAATGACAACAAATCCACAACTACCAACAACTGAACCTAAAAAAACAAAAACAAATGAAGTAAACAATTAGAATAGGAACAGCATCACAGAAACAGGGATCACCTGGAGGGTTATCAGCAGGGAGAGGTGGGGGGAGAATGGAGGGAAATGGTACAGGGAGTAAGAAGCGTAATTGGTAGGTACAAAGTAGACAGTGGGAGGTTATGAATATTATGGGATATGGAGAAGCCAAAGAACTTGTATGTATGACCCATGGACATGAACAGGGGAGAATGCAGGTGAGACGGGGGTGTAGGGAGGAGGGGATTAAAAAGGGGGAAATGGGACAACTGTATAGCATAATCAATAAAATGTATTTTTAAAAACCTAAATGCTACTCCATCAGACCAGGCCTATAGATTAGCTCTAGTTCTTAGGTTCAGAAGGCAATATAATCAGGTGTAACGGAAACTCATACTAGGGGTGGTTTTCGGCGAAATTGTGCCTATTAAAGTTTCTAGTGCTTATTTTCTAGGACTATTTCTGAAAGTATCTGTGAATATTTAATAGGTTAGTAGAACTTACTGGGCTCAGAGGCTTGGCCCTTTAGTTTCTCTAAATACTATGAATGAAAGGCTACCTATCAGAAATAGTTCAATAATACAAATCCAGTTTAAATTCACAATGGCAAACTTTCCGTAGTTCTTCATTTAGATTATATTTTCAATGAGATAATGCCTTTAAATAAGTGTGACAGCCCATCATCCGCTTCCATTCATTTATTCAAATAATAATCCAGAGGTGGAGATGGGGAGAAATCACTGGAGTGAGAGTGGGGGTTGGTGATAAGCGAAGGTAAGATTGCAGCTCTAGTAGAGAGACGGCGAAAGAAAGTAAGTGCTGGGACAGGAAAGGAAAACCCCCTATAGGCCTATGACATGGACTCGCCTAAAGGGAAGTTGAGCACCAACAGTCGAATCTATCACAACAATAGATGTGCACAGGTAGAGGGTTGTATGCTCTCCCTTGTTAATAAGGCAATTTGTAGTTCTTTTCCATGTACAAAGCATCCTAATAGCCATTATCAAATTTAATGCTCACAGAAAGTGTGAGTTAGTAAATGTTACCATTTTACAGATGAAAATACTGAGGCCCTAGGGAGATTGACTGGCCAATCAATATCATGAAACCAGTAAGAAGGCAACAGAGGAAAGACTCAAAACTAGATCTTCCTCTAAATCGGGAGCTTTGTGCACAATCCTGCAGTCTATTGAGTTTCTCAAGTCAGATGTACCACAGAATGTCACAACTGGAAAGGGGCTTAAAGGTCTAGTCCTTTTCCTTTACAGGTGTTGGGAATGAGTCCCGATAAGCCCCAGCTGGTATGTAATAGTAATGGGGTCAGAATGGTGGTTTCTTGACAGCTCCCATCTTTCCACTCTACCGTCCTGCCCCCAGATTAAGCAATACGAATGTTATACATACAAGTCAGGGCGTGCCAAAACATCACTGGAAATTCACCAAGAAAACTGGGGGCAGCAGCCCTCTCCACTTCCGGAAACTTTAAGGCTTGGAGAAATGAAAGTAAGCACTGCCACAAAAACAGAATTGCTGAATTGTCCCTTTAGAATTGTCAGACAGTATCTGCACCTTACATGAGTAATATGTCAAACTTATCAGTAACTTTTCTTCACAGAGAAAAAAGTTCTTATACATCTGTCCACTGCATTTAATTGGTAAGACATCTTATTGTGGTTCTGACACTGTTTTCACAAACCCATTAGGCAGGAAATCATGTCAAACCCGATCTGTATGTAGTAAATAGAACCACTTTAATTCTGAAGGATGATTAATATGCCACAGGATATTCTGTCTTCGATGGAGCAGGAGAGCTGCAGGGAGGAATTCCACGTAGATGCTTAAGAAACATTTCCTGAGTGACTCAATGAACTAAGTGAATTTTCCTGGCCCTTACTGATAATCCTGTGAGATTCCAGGAAGAAAATGAGCTCACTTATCTTCAAAGAGCAACAACAAAATGATTCAATATAAACACTGTGTTTCTGAACTTTGCCTTGTCCATGCTTGGCTTTCACCACTTGTAGGAAGAACTCCATCAGTGAAAAGTGAGGTGGGGTGGGCTGGGCATGAGAGTCTGTGACGCTCCCTGTTATATAATACGCATTAAGATTTCAAGCAAACTTTATCAATTCAGGAATTTATGAGGTAAAACAAATCGTGTGAGTTAACTCTTACAAAAGAAGGCAAAAAGAATTGTTGAGATTTAGAAAGAATAACTACAGGAAGTGTATGTGGGGTAAAGTTCCCCTCCTTCTTCCTTGGAGGAGGGGGAATAAAACCTTAAACACCCAGAGGCTGAGGCTGGCAAAGAAGTGCCGCCCCTGGGTGCCTGGCATTGAAGCTAGACCCAGCCCATAAGCAACCTTAACTACAGAACCAGTTCCAGAAGTGACCTCATTGGATGCACTGGAAAAGATGTGATTTTGTTCTTTAAAAGTTCTAGTTACTGAACTTTGATCCCTTTCCAATAAAACCAGAGAAGATTTGTCCTTGAATCTAAACTTTTTTTAAGAATATGACTTCTGACCACATAATGCAGCATACATCTCTGACTGCAATAAAAAAAACAAAAGAAAAAAAAACAAAAAATGGATAACATGTATTTGGAGAAATTGCAATCCCCCACAATATAACCCTTCACTCCTCTGAAACCTGGTTTCACAGCACGGTCTGTGGCAGGGGTGTCCCACCTGTGGCCTGCGGGCCACATGTAGCCCAGGATGGCTGTGAATGTGGCCCAACACGAAATTATAAACTTACTTAAAACACTGAGATTTTTTGGTGATTATGTGTCGCAATGTATATAATGTGTGGCCCAAGACAACTCTTCTTCCAATGTGGCCCAGAGGCCAAAATGTAGGAAACGGACTCAGGGATCCTCTGGCCACTTCCAACCCTGTCCCTTACTCCAGCCCGCCCCTCACTGCCTGTTTCAAGGTATCTTTTAATTTCTTCCTTGACATCATTGGTGACTCATTCACTGTTTAGTAATGCTATTTCGTTTTTGTCTGTGCGTTTTGGTTTTTTCTTGTGATTAGTTTCATACCATTATCATTGGAGATGGTACTTAATATGATTTCAATCTACCTAAATATACTGAGACTTGTTTGTCCTAACATGTGGTCTGTCCTAGAAAATGTCCCATGTGCACTGGAAAAGAATGCACACTCTGCAGCTTTGGGATGAAATGCTCTGAAGGTATCAGTGAAATCCATCTGATCTAGTATATTGTTTAAGGCAGCTGTCTCCTTGTTGATTTTCTGACTGGAAGATCTGTCCATTGATGTCAGTGGCTGTTAAAGTCCCTGACTATGACTGTATTACTGTCAGTCTCTCCCTTTACGTCCACCATGATGTGCTTTACACATGTAGGTGCTCCTGTGTTGGGTGCTCCATGTTTACTAGGGTTATATCCTCTAGTTGGATTGTTCCCTTTGTCGTTATGTACTGTCCTTCTTTGTAACTTACTGTAGCCTTGGTTTTAAAGTCCATATTGTCAGATATTAAGGATCGATACTTTTTCCTTCCCATTTGCATGAAATATCTTTTTCTAACCCTTTACTCTTAGTCTCTGTGTATCTTTTGTTCTGAGCTGGGTCATTATAGACAACATACATATGTGGGTCTTGATCACAGCATTTAAGCCATTTACATTTAAAATGATTATTAATAGGTATGTATTTGTTGCCATTTTATTCTTTTGACTATGTTCCTCTGAGTTTTGTTTTGTTGTTTCCCCTTCTCTTCATCCTTCTCCAAACAGAACCTTTAACATTTTGTAACACTGGTTTGGTGGTAACAAATTCTTTAGCTTTTTCTTGTCTAGAAGCTCTTTATTTCTCCTTCCGTTCTAAATGATAATCTTGTTGGGTATAGTCTTGGTTGTAGGTCCTTGCTTTCCATCACTTTAAATATTTCATGCCAATCCTTTCTGGCCTGAAGTATTTCTGTTGAGAAATCAGCTGACAGTCTTATGGGAGCTCCCTTGTAAGTAACTGTCTTTCTCTTGTGGTCTTCAAGTTCTTTGTCTTTAACCTCTCCTATTTTAATCATGATGTGTCCTGGTGTGGGCCTCTTTGGGTCCATCTTGTTTGGGATTCTCTGTGCTTCCTGGACTTGTATGTCTTATTCTTTCACCAGGTTAGGGAAGCTTTTGGTCATTGTTTCTTCAAATAGGTTCTCAATACCTTGCTTTCTCTCTTTGCCTTTTGCGTATCTCAATGATGATGTTACTCACCTCATTTTTTTTTCTTTTTGCTGCTCTGATTACTTTTTTGTACTTTGTCTTCCAAATCACTGAGTTGATCCTCTGCTTCAACCAACCTCCTGTTTGTCCCTTCCAGTGTATTCTTCACTTCTGACTGGTCCTTTTTTATGGTTTCTAGGTCCTTTTTCATGCTGTTGGACATTCTTATAACTATTATTTTGAACTCTGTATCTGATAAATTGCTTGCCTCCATTTCACTTAGTTCTTTTTTAGAGATTTCTCTTATTCTTTCATTTAGGGTCTCTTTGTCTCCCCATTTTGGCTGCCTCTTTATGTTTCTTACTATGTCTTACTATTAAAGACTTCTGCTATGACTCCCGTCCAGTCTTTGTGGACTGGCCTTATTTTGTAGGTGTCCTGTGGGGCCCCAGTGGTGCAGTCTTCTTGATCACCTGCGCTGGGTGCTCCAGGAATGTCCCTGTGTAGGTTATGTGGGCCCTCCTGTTGTAAACTGAGACTTTTTTAAAATAAGTATTTTCTTGTATTAATTCTAGAAGAGGGGAAGGTAGGGAGAAAGAAAGGGAGTAGAACATCCATGTGAGAGAGAAGCCTCAATCAGTTACCTCTTGCACACGTCTGGACTAGGGACCTAACCCACAACACAGGCATGTAGCCTGACCAGGAACTGAACCAGCAACCTTTTGGCTTGTAGGACAATGCCCAACCAACTGAGCCACAACAGCTAAGGCATAATTGAATCGTGATTGCTATTAGCTCATTCGTGCATGGGATTGACCCTCAGGCTAGCTGACTGTGAGGCTCAACCCTGACCATAACATGTGGACTGCTGTGCAACTGCTCACCACAAAAAGCAGAATTCGCCTCCACAGGGTGTGGTTCCTGCCAAGATCTCCCTTTGGATATACTGCCTGTTAAGCTTATTGGATCCTGTAATGTTGACTGAAGTTGACCACTGGGTATTTGTTGTGGACCTCTTAGAAGGCACGCTGGTTCAAGCCAACTCCCCCACCTCTGAAGCTGAGATATCCCTCTAGAACCGCCGCTGCCACCTGTGGAAGCGGGGCCGGCCCTTTTTGTGTCTCCGCCCTCCCTACCAGTCCCAATGTGGATTCTTTGTGAACCCTTGGTATAAGACTTCAGGTATATTGCCTGTGATTGGCCTTTAGCAATCTGTTTGGAGTTACAAGCAATCTACAGTTTATGGCTGCCTCTCCTGGACCTGGGTACACGTGGGAAGGACCAAGCTGTGCACCAGTGCCAGCTTTTACCAGCACCAGGCCTGGTGGCATAGGCCAGCAAAAGTCCCAAGGCACTGCAAGATCTGTCTCTACCTCAGGGCTGCCTTTTAGGCTCAGTCACTGGAAAAGCCTCTGGCTGTACTCAGCAGGGTGTAAGCTCCACAGGGTGGGGTGAGAGGGAGTTCAAAGGGTAGGGCTATTGCTTCCCCCAGGCCGATGCCATAGGGAAGGGGGTGTTCCATCCGAGAAAGATGGCCTTTGCAGTGTGGGAATGACAGCACAGGCATCTTGGCAGCTGTCCTTTCAGCTCCCTCCCCAGAAAAAACCCCAGACTCTCCTCATTCAATTTTAGCTGACTCTGCCATCCCTCTGCCAGAGCCCAGGGTGAGTGACTGCAAAGGAAATTTTATGTGTTGGCCCTTTAAGAGGGTGCCTGTGTCTCTTGCAGACTCCCATCTCTCCCCGACGGACAGAAACCCTGCAGGTTTTTACACCAGGTGTTATGTGGGCACCTCTTCCTGGCTCTGGTGTTCTGGGCTGGGGAGCCCAGCATGGGGTTTAGATCCCACACTTAGGGGGAACTCCCCCACCTCTGAAGCTGAGATAACCCTCTAGAACCGCAGCTGCCACCTGTGGAAGCGGGGCCAGCCCTTTTTATGTCTCCGCCCTCCCTACCAGTCCCAATGTGGATTCTTTGTGAACTCTTGGTATAAGACTTCAGCTAGTCTTTAGTTGTTTGTTCAGGATGATTGTTCTATAATTTACTTGTAATTCCAGTTTGGTCCCAGGAGGGGATGAATGTTAGCTTCCACCTACTCTGCCACCATCTTGGAATCTCTGTCCTCATTGCCTTTAACAAAGGCAACCCTTGTATTATTTCGTCCCCTGCTGCTCTGGCAGTTGGAGATCACTCCAATGACCTCATGGCTCTGCCTCTAATACAACGTCTCTGTCTGACATGCATACGCACGCATTTAATTTTTTTAATAGAACGTGTCATCGGTGAGACCCAAACTCCTCTTTTAGTCACAAGTTATGTCAGAAATTCTGGACACTGAAATTCCTCAAAAAATACTGCTTGATACCAAGGGATTTCTATATGACTTCCTTATCAAAGAAATAAATGAGTTCAGCCCTGGCTGGTGTAACTCAGTGGGCTGAGTACAGGCCTGCGAACCAAGGGATCACAGTTTGATTCCCAGTCAGGGCACATGCCTGGGTTGCAGGCCAGTTCCCAGCAGGGGACCCATGAGAGGCAACCATACATTGATATTTCTCTCCCTCTCTCCTTCCCTTCCCCCTCTAAAGATAAATAAATAAAATGTTTAAAAAAGAGAGAAATAAATGAGTTCATACTATTTTTATCTGAAAACACTCAAATCTAATTCCAGAACTCTAATCCAATCAATATATCTGTGTATTGCATGACAGTGAATTTTTCAGTAAAAAGTCCAGACATTTATTTCCTTCTGTATTACATCAATATATATTTAAAATATATATATATATAATTTTTCTTCAACTTTCAAAGCTTAAAAGTCAAAGAATCTTCTCTCTCTAGATCCCTTAAATCATAACTGCTATCATTCAAGCTCAAGAGGAATTCTGTATAAAAGAATAAGCTTTTAAAAATCAAGTAACTCTCCTCTAGAACACAAGGGCTCTGGGGCTCTGCTAAGTCAGGTAGGGGAAAAGCAATAAATAGGGGCAGTGGGGGGGTTGGCAGTAAGACTACATACAGCCCTTCTAACACAAAACACCGGGAAGGAGGAGGGGGGAGGCTGTGTCAGAGGGGCAAGAGTCTGAACAAGGTCATGGCTTATTCTCTTCCGTTCTTGGGTGTCTGAAAGAAAAACTACCCAGATAACAGAAGACAGGTCCCGGCCTCCTAGGGGAGATAACCATGGTCATGACACAGAGGGGGTGGAGACGCATGGCAGTCCACTCGAAAGCTGGGCGCTACCTATGAAACTCAAGATAACAAAAAGCTCCTTTGACCTGTAAACTTGTACTCATAAATACAAACCCTCAAAATAGAACTCAGTGGATTTTTCAACAAGTCTTTTCAACACTGATACACAATAAATATTCTTCATTTTGGAATCGATGCTATTAAATAGAAATGCGCTAAACAGCCACTTTCCAAAGCCAGATAATGGTTGAGAACAGGTATTCCGAATGGAGTAGATAATACTGCTGCTGTAGGGAGCGCGCATGTTAGGAGCTGACAAGGATCTTACTGAGGACTGCGTCATAGTAGGGACTGAAGACCATCTTGTTATAGTTGACCAGGCGGACAAATTTAATAGCGACTTCCTCCAGCTCTTTCTGGACCGGACCCAATCCTCCGGGTACCGTGGGCAGTGGCTTCTGATGACCTGAGGCAAGGCAGGTTTCTAAGAAGGCCAGGATTCGGGAATCTGTGATATAAAAGAAAGCAGCTGGTTGTTTCTTGTGCAGGGTGACTTCACAAACTTCTGATTATGCTTCAGTTTTTAACTTAAAACATCACTTTTTCACGAAGGGCTTTCCTGACCACCGCCTAGATCATGTACCCACAGCACCTTGCCCTTCTAAACAGTCATCCATTTGTAATGTTTCCTCCCCCTCTTCAGATGGGTAGTTTCATGAAAGGAGGAACGATGGCTTATTGCGTTCACCATTCTCCCCCCAGCATTCAGCTCAGTTCCTGGCATGAAACCTGGCCCCTGTGAAAGCTCACAATACATTTGAGAAGCAAGAACGAATGTAAGAATATAAAAAAGGAGACTCCTTTTTATATTCACATAAAAAGTGTTAACAGGTTCTGCTCCCAGAGGAGACCAACATTAACCACTGATGAAGATCATACAAAAAGTGGGATGAAGAATAAAACAGGAACTACAAACTCAAAAAAGGAAAGAGTGCACTAGCTGGGTGGCTCAGCTGGTGGAAGCGTCATCCCGCACACACCAAAGGCTATGGGTTTGCCTCTCGGTCAGGGCACATACCTAGGCTGCAGGTTCAGTCCCTGGTCAGGGTGCATACAGACAGCAACTGATCAATGTTTCTCTCTCTCCCCCCCTACCCTGCACCCCTTCCTCTCTAAAATCAATAAACATATCCTAGTGTGGGGATTTAAAAAAGAGAAAAGAGAAGATTCCAGCACTGTTGGTCTGTCATCTGTCTTTTCCCACTAAGCCCATATGAAAAAACCATGAACTTCCTGCTTTAATGCCTATAGTGGAAGGCCATGGAGTTGGGGGCATTTGTAAAGTTGTCCTACTCTGAGGAATAATTTTGGTTGATGCTTTTTTAGCCCATTCCCTTCTACAATATTTCTGCACTCTCCTGTGTATCCACATCAGCCAAAAAACCTGTTAGTGTAAGCCATGTTTCTTGCAGACTTTATTACAAAAGCTGTAGGGATGTTTATATTGAATGGGCTTTCTCACTCTGCTTGTCCACCCCGTGCCCTGGGGAACCCTGTCAGGTACCGATGACTCACACCCATCAGAACACACGAATGGAGAAACTGCTAACTGGATGGGTCCGATCACCCCTGTTCTGAAGTGAATTTGGTTTTCTAAGGTTCCCGGAGCTGGAAGCATCACCCAGAAGTATTGATCCTCGTTTCATTCCCACCCGAGGGCTGCTTTTTATCTCTATGCCTATAACTGGCTGTTACTAAACAACCAGGACGGCAGGACACGGGGCAGCTCGTCAGCCAGTGGTCTGTTTATGGGCACTTTCCTGCATCTTTAGCAGGGTCGAGGATATGAATCTGGATGGTCCGAGGACCTGGCGACATCTTCAAGAGGCTGCTCTGGGGTGATGCACAGTGAAATTGTGACCAATGTAGGGCTGGGATAAAATAATTAAAAAAACACTAATCCATATAAATTTTTTTCCATAATATGAGAAAAAGTTTAAAATATTCTTTTATTAAGAATAGTTTTTTAAAAGTCATAGTATTAGAAGCAGGCCCACCAGTGGTCCAGCTTTCTACTCCAGATCATACCACGAAACACTCAGTGTTCGCTGGAGCAGGCTTTTGAACCAAGGCCTGCAATTTCAAAGTTGGAGCCTTCAGAACAATGATGGCTGCCTGGTCACTTGCCCAAACCTTTGGGTCCCTCTAATCACGTTGTGGTTGGTGATCCCTGCTTTCTGTCTTTCCCCAAACGTACCCATGATCCTGCGGATGGGGTCATCGGGACTGGCCACAGCCTGGATCTGGCCCTTGAGCACGGTCTCCTTGTCCTTGGTAAAGGGGGCGAACCCACACAGGGAAAGGCGGCTGCTCACCTCCAGGCAGACCTTCTCCCCGATGGTAGTCAGGGCATCTTTCAGATGGAAGGACCTTGAGCGGAGAAGGAAAAGGAAAAGCCAGGGAAGAAAGAACAGATGAACACAGTGCACATCTGCCCTTCCCTGGTAAGATCACAATAACCAATTCATGGACTGATGTGTTCACAGGGAACATCTGTGACTCTCTGCCCTGCCCCTAACCTCTCGGGCTGTGGGCACCTGATTTGGGGACTGTCTCTCTCCCCGAGACCTTCTCCCCGTTCTTCTCTCTCTCTCCCTCCCCAACCCCAGAAAGGACAGTAGGAAGGGGAGAACTCATATTATATTAGGACCAACAACCCAAAACCCAACTTCCTACTAGCATCTGTGCGGTGAAATAAGTCTGGAACTGACTTAAGAATATCTTGAATATCTCTGGAACAACACTCAAGGAACCAGAAATGTGGTAGCTACAGGATAGAAGCGGGAAACTTTTCATTCAATACCCTTTTACCCTTTTGATTTTCAAAACCCGTGAGTGTATTACCTACTTTAACAGAATAAAAAAAACTGAAATCTAAAAGCTAAGAAAACTAGTATCTGGGGTTCCTGGGGCCTCCAGGCTACCCTCAAGAGTCTGCTGGGAGCCCTCCTGCTGCTGGGTATCCTGTGAGAAGGCAATCAATTGCCTTGGTTCGGCATCCAGAGTCTTTGGGCAGTAGGATTAGTGGGAGCAGATGTGCAGACCCTGGGGCTCACTGCTGGCACCAACCCTGACTGCAGGGTGAGCATGGCAGGGCAGGGCTGGACTCCTAAGGAAGCGCCAAACAGGGCCCCTCTCATCAGTAACTCGGACAGCACAACCTACTGGAGGGAGACCTAGGTGACGGCTCAGCGTTACACGTGTACAAGGGCCTCAGGCCAGGCCTCAGCTCAGCAAACACCCGCCTGGCCTAAGTCAAGACCACTGAACCCCTAGTTACAGCATGTGGGCAAGCTCCTCACTGCACCAAACACAGGCATGCTTGTGCAAACTCAGCAGTAAAATCCCTCCATTTTGTAAGGATGAGAATGTTTGGGGACATCCCTCTTGAAGAATCCTTTGAATTGGACCTTGTCGGACCTTGTTTACTTAGAACCATTCAAGAATACTCTATGTGTTGTAAACCACACAAATCACCTAATCTGATTTCACTGCAAGAGCAATTAGAGCAGCTGCTCTCAAAAGTGTGGATTAGTGCTGGCTGCTAAAATAATCCACTGATACCCAGCATAAAACGTCTATGAGGAATGTGCAGAGGGCAGAAAACGTGAATCATGTACCGTATTTTGCTGTGTATAACGCACTCCCGTGTATAATGTGCACCCACATTTTTGTGTGCATTGTACATGGCATTATTATACCCATGGTAGGTAATCATTATACCCGTGTATAATGCACATCCTTATTTTTCCCTCAAAAATTTGGGCAAAAAGTGAGCATTATACACAGCAAAATACGGTACATACAACTCTGGGGAATACAGCTTGTTTCTTATATGTCCTTCCCATAGGTAGGGCTGTGTTGTCCAAACAGTTGGTTGCGAAAGCTATTCAGTGGGTAACAAACAGTATTTTTTAATGGAATAGAACAGAAATATCAGGGTGTATTAAGCGCAGTTCGGATTAAGTTTCCCTTTGTGAAATTTTTATTTCAGCCATACAACAGAAAATACATTTTTTAGTAAGGGGCTTGGTCAAAAACCTCTGAAAGCCACTGTCCTAGAGCCTTGCGAACCCCAGAGTCGATTCTAACTTTGCCCGTGCGACTCTGAGTAAGTTCTGCGGGGGCAAAGGAAGTTGGAGAGCGATGTTTCCTCTCGGTTCCTAGGTTCTGCTCTACATTCAGACACCCCACTTCCAGTCTGCTCTCTGCCAACCTGCTGCCTCCCACCCACCCACTACAGGTCCACCCCACAGCTTTTAGCTTACGGCAGACGCAGATCTGTCAGCAGGATCTTCACGATCATCTTGAGTTTCTCAGCAAAGTTGGCCTGGCTGGAAATTCCTGAGGCTGCCATGCTGAACGTGACCAGCAGCACGGCCCCCAGGATGGTCAGCTGCTCCAGCTGGAGCTGGAGCTCCTGGAAGCGAGACTGGTCCATCAAGAGTGTCTGCAATGAAAACAATAGAAATCATCTCTGAGCTGTAGACTCGGGCTGGCCAGCAGAGGGCGTGGGACCCCAGCCAAAGTTTCCCTCAGATTTTCTAGCCATTTTGGAGCCATAAAGGAATCACGTGTGGATTACTCCTCCATCTCAGAGCCCCTTCTTCCTTAAAGGCTGCAGTAGAGCACACTGGTGAAGAACATGAGACAGACTGGGTGTGATCCAGACTCTCATTTAATGGCAGCATGACCTCACACAACTTTTTTCAACTCAGCCCTAGGCAGAATGAGGAATCCTAATTCATAGGACTGTTTTAAAGATGAAAAAAAAACCCCAAAAACCACATGCATACGAAGTGGCTGGCAGAGCCAACACTCCATAAATAGAAGTTATATCACTACGTCGGAAAGAGTAATGAGACAAGAGTGAGGGTGGCCTGCTCGCCCCAGTCTGTCCGGAACTAAACCGGGTTTAAAACCGAAATTCCTAAGTCCAAGAACCACCACCGCCATTGTAAGAGTGAAATGCTCCCTCTCTGACTCCACCTGGTTCGGGACATTCGGGCTCACATCCCCTGCTTTCTCTAGCACACAGACATGCTGCATATCAGAGCAATTCTGCTTGTGGCTTGAGTTGACCAAATCAGCCCCTCCTATGTTCCATTTCCTTGAAGTAAAAGAAGCCTGAACTCTTTACTTTCTGAAGATAGATTCGAGGATTAGGTCTCCCAGCTTCTTAGTTGGTACGTTATGGATCAATAAACCTTCCCCTACCACAGACTCTGACATTTTGAGTTTTGCCCTTTCCAAGCGTCAGGCACACGGACTTTGGACGGGAACACCACCTCTTCCCATAAATACACACCAGCCCTGGGCAAACCAGGCAGCTGCTCACCCTGCCCAGGAACCGAGCGAAGGAGGGGAGAAAGTCCTCCAGGCAGAGCCGACGCTTACTCACCCTCCGTACCTAGCACGGAGGAGGCTCTCGAGAACTGAGTAAGTGAATAAGGAAAGAGGGAAGTGAACAGTAAAAAGAAAAGGTGAGAATGACAGGTGATAACCCAAAGCCTCCTGGAAAGCATCAGCGAGTGAATTTCCCTGACCATGTCCTGTGTGAAAGCCTCCCCTGGGTCCTACCAGGGCCAAGTCTCCTGTGTGGGGGGAAGAGCAACAGAGAGGCTGAGGAGACAGGACTTGTGATCTGATTTTTTACAGGTTAATCAAATAAATTTCAGGGACCCATCTTGCTATAAGAAACTGATGCACCAAATCCAGTTATAACAATTTGGGGTCTCAGCCCAGAATTGTTCTCAAGAAGTAAAAACTATCTTTGAAGACTGAGCCTTTCCTGTTAAACACAGGCGCTTCGGTCAACGTCTCATCAGCCTCTTTTATTTTGACTTTGTTTGGCTGGACAGCAGTGCCCCGGCTCTGATGCCTCCAGTGCTCTGCAGCGGTGACTTAGGGTGCGGAAGATCTCCAGGGAACAATTCTGAGAGTGGACATCTGTCCCCAGGGAAAATACCGTCCTCCTCATCGCTATTTTTTTTAAGGTGGAGAACTGCCCTCCAGCAGAAAACATGCCACTATTCAGGAGGCGACTGTTCCCTACACATGCCCCCAATTCAGCACCCTCTTTAGAGCCTCCTCTGGCTCAAAACGTGGAACTCAGAGGCAAGAGGCAAAACCGCAGGCTTACAATGAATGTCTTGAAAACAAATAATAAGGAACTTAGAAATAAGGGTATTTAGAGAAGTAGCAGTATCTGAGGCTAGAGAGCAGAAGCCTAAGTGCCCTCAAACAGGGAGGGGAATCTACACACCAAACTCGCTGTTCGCAGACCAAAGGGGGAAATCCCGTGGCAGTCGTCCCCTCAAAGGGCCACTGAGGCGGGAAGTGCTTACCGGGAAAAACACATGAAGAGAAAACTCTGCTCTGCGCAGAGGGGAGGAAGTCTCTTTAGATAAAGCTGCAAGGCGACATCGCTGCTACTGGTTAACCACGATGAGGAGCAACGGGAGAGTCGTTCAGCAGCACAAGCTGGAAACCCGTGCAATGCAATGGGGCTGTGAAACGAGCAGCTACTTTGGAAACCAGTTGGGACGTTCCTCAAAATGTTAAACTTTAAGAGTCACAACCACATGACCCAGCAACTAATCCTAGGTGCATACCCAAGGGAACTGAAAACGTATGTTCCACACAAAAACTTGTGCACAAATGTTCAGAGCTGCACAATCCACGATAGCCAAAAAGTGGAAACAGTCCGAATGTCCACCAACTGATAAGCGAAGAAACAAAAAGTGGTATAGCCATACAGCCTTAAAAAGAAAATCCGCCCTGGCTGGTGTAGCTCAGTGGATTGAGCGCGGGCCTGTGAAGCAAAGGGTCGCCAGTTTGATTCCCAGTCAGGGCACGTGCCTGGGTTGCGGGCAGGGTCCCCAGTAGGGGACACGTAAGAGGCAACCACACCTTGATGTTTCTCTCCCACTCTTTCTCCTTCCCTTCCCCTCTCTCTAAAAATGAATAAATAAAATATTAAAAAAAAAGAAAAGCTGACACACGACACAACATGGATGAACCCTGATGACATTATGCCAGACAATAAGCCAGACACAAAAGGACAAATACAATTTCGCTCACATGGGGTAGCTACAGTAGCCAAAATCAGAGACACCAAGTAGCCCGGTGGTTGGCGGGGGAGGGAGGGAAGGATGGGCCACTGGGTAAAGGGCACAGGGTTTTGACCTGTGAAGATGGAAACGTTCTGAAGAGGAACAGTGGCGAGGGCTGCCCAACAGTGTGGACGTGCTGGATGCCACCGAACTGTACACTCGAAACTGATGCATTTTCTAATGCCTATTTTACCCAATGAGGAAAATGCAACTTAAGAAAAGGGGATGACGCACCGACCACACTGACACATGCTACGACACGGACGAACATAACTGAGGACACTTCGTGAAGAAGCCGACGCAGGGCCAGGGCTGCACGGCTCCGTGCATTTAAAATGTCCAGAATGGCATGGCCACAGAGGGTGGGTCAGCGGCTGTCGGGGGCAGGGGCGGGTAGTGACTGCTCACGGCACAGAGTTTCTTTCTGGGGCAGTGAGAATGCTCTGCAATGAAACAGTGGTCATGGGCACAGTACTCTGTGAACACACTAAAAAACCACACCGAGGTGTACAATTTAAAAGGGGACATTTGGTGGTGTAATGAATTATATCATAATAAAACTACTATTTTTTAAAAGTTCGCCAGCTCACAAAGAAACGAGCAGTTAGACCACTCCGGGGCGCTCACCTCAGGGAACGGTCTCCGGAGGTGGTCCCATCTCAGGAGCTTCACATACGCGTAATTCTGGATGGAAATGGGACTTGGCAGGAGACTGTCCCCAGAGCCAGCGGCCCCTCCCCCAGCTGGCAGGGCATTTTTATACTTCTGATTCATAAGGTCCTCTGCAGCTTCTTCCAACCACTGGGTGACGAAGTCCAGGGAATCTGTGAAAAACAAGGCTGTGAACACTCCTAAGATGCTCAGGAGGGATCCATCTCAGAATTACTGTGGGGGAGATAAGGTCATCCTGGAGGTGTGGTACAGTATGGAGTATGGACTTTGGAATCAGATAGAACCTGGTCCAAATCACAGTATCGCTAATTACTGGCAGAGTGATTTCAGGCAAATCACAGTCTGTCTGAATTGTGATTCCTACCAGATTCCTAACACAAAGAAATGTGGATCACACCAGTCTGTGAGGATTAAACAAGACCGTGAGGATAAAGTGCCCAGCCAGAACTTCCACCTACAGATGTTCAAAAGACCTTCGCTCTCTTCCCTTCCACCCTGGCTTTTCCTCATCCAGACCTTAGTCTCTCGTCAATCTGCTTTACTACCAGCCTTGCGGGAGGTGAGCTCGGTCGCCCTTTTGATGTGCATTACACTGCATGTGGAGCACTGTCAGGGTGACTGGCTGTCTTTCGCCCACCATCATGCTCTCCTTACTTTTCTAAACTGAGTAATGCACCAGGGACCCTGAGGGACACGAGAAAGAAAATGAGGTTTCTGTCCACATTATCTAAGCAAAAAATTCCTCTGACGGGTCCTGGAACAAGGTGCAGCTCTGCCAGTTTGGTCCACCTGGAAACCAGGGGGCAGTCAAGGTCATGGCTGGAGTTCACTGTTCGTTGCTGCAAGAGGACACACCTCTGCTTCTGTCAACATGGTGAGCATACAGAGCTCTTGGTTCTGACCTTCGCTCTTCCTTTAACCTTCTGCCAACAGCATTCTCTGTAGCCCTCCAGCATTGGGAAACCCTGGTACTCATTACACTGTGAGTAATAAGTACCAGACTCCAATCAGCTCGGGGACTGTCGTAACGCTTCCACTCCAGCAGTGTGTCCAGCAGTGTGTCCTTCAGCTTCCAATTTACCCTGGCTGCTGGCACGTGGTTCCCACACTAAAGCTCTTCAACCTGTCAAACTTCAACCCGAGTGTCCCCTGAGGGGTAGTACAACACTGCTTGAGGAAGTGAGCTGTGTGGTCAATCAATTCTGGTCAAAAACCTCTCAAAATCCATGTCCTCATCTGTACAATGAGGTTAAAAACAGGGCCTACCTCACAGGCTCAGTCTGTGAGGGTTATATATGTTAATGCACATAAATCCTTGGCACAAGCCTAGTATATACTAAGCATTAGTCATTCTTCCCCCAGGGCTGATACTTCCGCTCTGCTCCTTCGGTCTCTTCCTGGCCCTTGTACCACCTTGAACTTCTCTCTCTGGGGCTGGATGAGCAATTAACTGTTCAGGGCTGAATGAACTCTTCTGTTCAGACAACACAACCTATGCCGAGACTGTCACCTTCATCTGATGATCAGCAAAGTTAGAGGTCAGATGGGACTAGTCATATAAGCTGGACCTGAATATTGCAGTTTACCCAACTTACAGCTGTCGTGGCAGAGGCCCCAGAAGCGCCCTAAAAATGCAACACAGTTTTGGATTTTAGTCATCCATTTTCCTGCAGTTGTCCGAGAGGTTATAAAAATAAGATTTTTTCTGGGTCTGAAAATGGAAGATTTATGAATATAAAACAAAAGCAAAGTGAAATTTTAGAAGTGAATTCAGTGGTCACAAGAAGTTTGTCATGTTTTTAAAACCAAGGCCAAGCATACAATTTATCTCAAACTGGTGTCTTCATTAAAAACCTATTTAAGACTTCTTCATTCCTTCAAATTTCTATTCTTATATCCTACTCATATTTCTCTTGCTTGTCAATTAACCTTTCTTTTCAAGTAATAATGCCTTGTGCTCTTCTGTCTTCAAATGAGACCATTCTCATACTAAATTTTAGTTTTGTTTTTGAAAACAACATTATTATGCAACAAACTACTGCAACTGAATGAAACAACACAGACAAGAAAAGAGCAACACTAAACATTAACCGTACTTGGCTGCTTCTCCAAAAGCTCTTGAAACTTCTTCCTTTCATATTCCACTGACTGCTGCATGAGATGTGGCCTAATGCTACTGACAGCAAAGTTCGCCATGTCCACTTTCATTAGGTCTAACATGGAAAAAATTGCCCTAAAAAGAAAAAGATAAAAGGATTTAGAACTAGACACTTGTAAACACTGTTTTTACAAAAAGAGGTAAGTTGATCTGAGACAGTCTTTTCATATCAGAAAAGGTGGCAAGAAAAAGCTAGAAAAATCATGAGAAAGTACATTAAGAAAAACAAATTTCAAAACATATAAGCTTAAATAATAGTTTGAGAAGGCTGCAAATTTTTAAGCTGCTGTCTGTCTCCACCCCTTTATCCCTTGCTCCCAAGCAAACACAGTTCCCCCCATGGCCTGTCTAGACCAGAACGCATTCCTTGGCTTTGGGTCAGACCTCAAGGCAGCCACAGAGGAAGGAAGGAGCCCGAGACTGGAGACTGGAGGTTAAGGACAAAGAGCTCACCACCTGGAAGCTACTTTCACATAGGTTAATTTACTTTCCTAAGAAAGAAAGAAAAGTAACTCTCCTTTCTTCTCCCCTCTTACCCCAGTCTCTTTAGTTGCAGGGCATGCTTTACATTCTAGTTCTGGTGGCATCACTGCTGTACATTCTCTGAATGTACCCAATGAGCAGACTTGACTTAGTCATACCATTTTAAGCACCTATTTTTTGGAAATAACTTAAGATACAGATACAAGTTTTCTGCAGAAAGATGTTCACTGCATGGTTAAATGGTAAATAATTATACATAACTAATTGTCCATTTTGCAAAAAAGTTTGTTTTGTTTTTTTTTAAAGATTTTATTTATTTATCTTTAGAAGGGAAGGGAAGGAGAGAGGGAGAGAAATATCAGTGTATGGTTGCCTCTCATGGGTCCCTTGCTGGGAACTGACCTGCAACCCAGGCATGTGCCCTGACTGGGAATCAAACTGGGATCCTCTGGTTCACAGGCCTGCGCTCAACCCACTAAGCTATACCAGGCAGGGCTTGCAAAAAAAGGTTTTATATGAAATGAATATTTTGCAGCCATTGAAAATACATACAGGAGTTTTTAAAACAAGTTGTTTATAAAAGGGCAGTGCAAGAGATCCTTGTGGTATTGAAACTGCTCCGTATTTCTTTTTCTTTCTCATTTTTCCAGTCCTTACCCAAAGATATATTATTCATTGGTTTTAGGGGGGGAGGGGAGGAGGGAGAAAGAGAAAAACACCGATGTGAGAGAGAAATATTGTTTGGCTACCTCTTGTATGCACGGTGACCGGGGATCAAACCCACAACCTAGGTATGTGCCTAGGGATTGAACCCACAACCTTTTGGTGTGCAGGATGGTGCTCTGATCAACTGAGCCACCTGGCAAGGGCAAAACTGTGCAGTATCTTGAATTTGACGGCAAATATACAAACTTACACAGGTTTTTATATGATAAAATCATATTTTAAAAGACCTGTATATATTTTGTCTCCAAGAGACCCACCTCAGAATGAAAGATACACATAGATGAAAAGTAAAGAGATGTAAAAAGATACTTCATGCAAATGGGAAGGAAAAAAAGTTAGGGAGCAATACTTACATCTGACAAACTAAGGGTTTAAAATCAAGGCTATCGTAAGAGACAAAGAAGGACACTACATAATGATAAAAGGAACAATCCAACAATGGGATATGACCCTAGTAAACATTTATGCACCCAACATAGGAGCACCTAAACATGTGAAGAAAATCTTGATGGACATAAAGGGAGAGACTGACAGAAATACAGTCATACATACTGGGGGATTTTTAACACCCCATTGACATCAATGGCTAGATTTTCCAGACAGAAAATCAACAAGAAGACAGTGGCTTTAAATGACATACTACATCAAATGGATTTAATTGATATCTCCAGAGCATTTTATGCCAAAGCTGCAGAATATACATTCTTTTCAAGTGCACATGAAATGTTTTCTAGCACAGACCACATGTTAGGACACAAAACAAGTCTCAATAAATTTAAGAAGACTGAAATCATATCAAGCATCTTCTCTCATCATAGTGCTATGAACTAGAAATCAGTCACAAGAAGAAAACTGAAAAATACACAAACACACGAAGACATGGAAGCTAGATAACATGTTATTAAACAATTAATGGGTCAATAAGGAGATCAAGGAAGAAATCAAAAGATACCTTGAAGGAAGTGAAAATGAGAACGCAACAATCCAAAATCTGTGGGACACTGGGAGAGTAATGCTAAGGGGGAAATTCGGAGCATTACAGACCTATCTCAAGAAACAAGAAAAAGGGAGGGGTGGGCTGGGATGGGAGTAAAAGACAGAAAAATGTACTTGAACAATAATTAAATGAAAAAATTATGATTAAGAAAAAGAGAGAAATAAGAAAAAGCTCAAATAATCCAACTCTACCCTTAAAGGAACTTGAAAAAGAATGACAGTCTATAAAGTGTGCAGAAGGAAGGAAATAATAAAGATCAGAGCAGAAATAAATGAAATGGAGTCTAAAAAAATACAAAAGATCAAAGAATCCAAGAGCTAGTTCTTTGAAAAGATAAACAAGATTGAGAAGCCTCTAATCAGGCTCATCAAGAAAAAAAAAGAGAGGACCCAAATAAATAAAATCAGAAATGAAAGAGGAAAAATAACAACTGACACCAAAGAAATACCAAGACAGTATCATGAACAACTATATGCAAACAAATTGGACACCGTGGAAAAAATGGATACATTCCCAGAGACATACAATCTTTCAAAATAAATCAGGAAGAATCAGAGAATCTGAATAGACAGATCACAGCTAGACAAACTGAAGCAGTAATCAAAAAACTCCCAACAAAAAAAAAGCCCTGGGCCTGATAGCTTCACCAGGTTGCTACAATATTCTCAAGTCAATAAATGTGATACACTACATAAACAAAATGAAGGATAAAAACCACAGGTCATATCAACAGATGCAGAAAAACCTGAATAGTAACAGTGATTGTGAGAAAGAACAACAACATTGGAGGAATTGTGCTAATATCAAACTGTACTACAAGCCCATAACAATCAAAACAGCATGGTACTGGCATAAAAACACACACAGAGATCAATGGAACAGAACAGAGAGCTTGGAAACAAACCCACGCCTTTATAGCCAATTAATATTTGACAGAGGAAGCAAGCCTATGCTATGGGCTAAAAATGGTTTATTCAATAAATGCTGTTGGGAAAATTGGACAGATATGTGCAGAAAAATGAAACTAGACTGCTTTCTGATGCCACAAACAGAATACATTAAAAATGGATCAAAGATGCCCTGGCTGGTGTAGCTCAGTGGATTGAGCATGGGACTGCGAACCAAAAGATTGCGGTTCAATTCCCCGTCAGGGCACATGCCTGGGTTGCAGGCCAGCTCCCAGCAGGGGCCAGTTCCCAGCAGGGGATGCACCAGAAGCAACCATACATTGATGTTTCTCTCCTCTCCTTCCCTTCCCTTCTAAAGATAAATAAAAAAAATTTTTTTAAATGGATCAAAGACTTAAATTTTAGACTCAAACCCATAAAAATCCTAGAAGAAAACAGAAGCAGTAAAACCTTGACAATGCTCATAGCAATATTTTTTCAGATCTATCTACTTAAGGGCAAGGGAAACAAAAGAAAAACAAATGGGACTACATTAAACTAAAAAGTTTTTGCACAGCAAAGGAAATCATCAACAAAAAAGCAAGACAACCCACTGAATGGGAGAATTATTTGCTGATATATCTGATAAGGGTTAATATCCAAAATTTATAAAAATTAAAGAAACACAACACCAAAAAAAACACCCCAATCTAATTATAAAATGGGCAAAGGATCTAAATAGACACTTCTCCAAAGACGACATACAAATGGCCAATAAACACATAAAAAGATGCTCAACATCACTAATCATGCAAATTAAAACCACATGAGCCCTGGCTGGTGTGGCTTAGTGGACTGAGCACCAGCCTGCAAACCTAAAGGTCACTGGTTCAATTCCCAGTTAGGGCACAAGCCTTGGTTGCCAGCCAGGTCCCCACTTGGAGGTGTGCGAGAGGCAACCGATCACTTTATCTCTTGCACATTGCTGTTTCTCTCCCTCCCTCCCTCCTTTCCCTCTCTTCTAAAATAAATAAATAAAATCTTTTAAAAAAATAGGAGGAACAAATAGGAAGGACACAGGGACGAGAACTAAGGGGGGTGGAAATGGGAGGGAGGTGGGGAGCAAGGGGCGGGGGAGGCTGGGATGGGAGAAACAGACAAAAAACTGTACTTGAAAAATAACTAAATAAAATTAATAATAAAAAAATAAATAAAACCACAATGAGATATCACCTCACACCTGTCAGAAAGGCTATCATCAATAAATCAACAAACAAGTGCTGGTGATGATGTGCAGAAAGGGGAATCCTTTTTGCACCGTTGGGAATGCAGACTGGTGCAGCCACTGTGGAAAGTAGTATGGAGTTATCTCAAAAAATTAAAAAGGGAACTGCCTTTTGACCTAGCAATTTCACTTCTGGGAATTTATCTGAAGAGACTGGACACATTAATTTGTAAGAATATCAGCACCCCTATGTCCATTGCGGTGTTATTTACAATCGCCTGTATTTGGAAGTAGCTCAAGTGTCCATCACTAGATGAGTGGATAAAACAACTATGGTACATTTACACAATGGGATTCTACTTGGCTCTTAAAAAAAGAAGAAAATTTTACCTTTGGGACAGCATGAATGGATGTGGAGAACATTACACTAAGTGAAATAAACCAGTCAGAGAAAGACAAATACCCTATGATTTCACTTACATGTGGAATCTAATGAACAAACCGAACTAACAAGCAAAATGAGACAGACTCGTGGAGAGCAGGCTGACAGCTCTGGGAGCGGGGTGAGGGGTGGAGGGATTGAGCAAAAAAGAAAAAGGACTCACGGGCGGGGACGATGGTGCGGTGATTGTGGTGTGGGGCTAAGGGGGTGAGTCGAGGTGGAAAAGGGTGTAAGGGGGATAAACAGTACTAGAAAAAAGATAATAAAAATGGTTTTTTAAAATTCTCAGACAGCATGCCAATTCTTTGCCCATATTAGCATAAAAAGTATATAAATTTAATCATAGTTATATATATATATACATATATATATATGTATAAACATGCAAAAGATCGATCAAAGTTAACATGGACAATATGTTGGTTAATAGGATTATATTAATGTTAAATTTATTGAATGTCTTGTTTGTATATTGATCATGTAGGAGAACATCTACATTTTTAGGAGATACTTGCTGAAATATTTAAGAACGAAATGTCAGAATGTCTGCTGTTAACCCTCATAAGGTTCAGGAGAAAAAAATATACATACATGCATACATACTCACATATATATATATAAGAAAAGCAAACTGACAAAATATTAAAAACTGGTGAATTTACATTAAGGATATATGAGTATGAATTATACTGTTATGGTGACTCTTCTGTAGGTTCAAAATTAAAAAAATATTAATGGTAAGTAACTAAAAATACATATATCAACATATCTAACAATGATTATGCCTTTTGGTGATAAAATTGTGGGTGAATTTTTTTCCTTCTTTCTACCTTTTCTATATTTGATAAAGTTTGCTTTTTAATTTTTTTAAATGCGTATCTATACTTAAGTCTAAGCTTGAAACTATACTGCGTATTAAGTGCACTTAATGTGATTCATACAATTCTCATACCTGAAAAGGGGCACTATTTCCTTAATGTCCTTTAGTTTCCTAACTTCCTCATCTCGAGCAGGTGCACACAGTGTCCCCATCATACCAATAACAAATTCCGCCAGCTTGGAAATGTCTAGGGCCCCATTCTCTGCCTCCTGCTTTATCAGATCCAGATCCAGGACTTCTGTAATCTGGTTTCTCAGTCTAGTGTGACCAGGCAGCAAGAAAGATAAGAGAGTCTGCAAAAGAGCACAGCCAAGTTTAATCAGTTTCTTAGTTGGATATTTTTGATTATATAGAGAGAATTTATATCTACCCAAATGAGGACTTACAAATTAGTACTATAGTGTTGCATAGTTCAACCTCTTATTCAACAAACATGTCTACAAATCATTTAGACTATCTAAATTTTCATTTAAGCCCTAGGTAGCAATCAACTGGATACAACTTGACTACAAGTGAGAAAAGTAAAGCACGTCAATTCACATGAGCCTGTGTACCACCCACAGATGCCAATTTCCATGGATACATCTTTTTTTTGATACTATTGCTAAAGGCATGGCACACACAGCCCTGTCTTCCACTTAGTGCCTTCTCTCTTCCACAGGCTGAATCACTTTCTGGCCACCAAAAAAGAATGTGTCCATACCTATCAAAAATTTTATAAATCATTTATATTTCATAAAATAAAATAATTTCTTTAAGTAATTCTATTTTCTTAAATACTAACTTTTCGTTGTCTACAAAGGAATGCCTTAGGTTATCATAGCTTGACAGAAATTTTAAAAAGGGCATTAAGCCAAAAGTACTCTCAATCCACATTTGGGAAAGTAATTTAACTTGATCCTTCGATTTCTTTCGTCTTCTGGCCCAGTAACACAGAGAGGCTGAGTACCGCTAATACCAGAAGTGCACCACAGTTTGTTCTTCGCGTTACCTCTTTGATCTCTCCAACAAGTTTAATGGCATGGTCGTAAGTTGGGGGGTCTTCACTTAGCTGCACACTCAAGCAATCCCAAAAAGCTTTATGTACAATCTCCTTCACTCTCTTCTCCAAACTGGAGGCAAAGGGGGAAAAAAAAGCAAAAATGAAATATTTGATCCTCAAATCTCTTTTTTAAAAAATTAAAAACGGCTTTCTTGAACTATGATTTACATATTGTAAAATTCCTTGTTTTAAGCATACTGTTCAAAGATATTTAGCAAATTTATCAAGTTATGCAACCATCCCCACAATCCAACTTCAAAACACTTCAGTCACTAAAATAGGACCCCTTGTGCCCAAATTGTGCACCAAGTTCCCAAGATGTCATTCCCTGAATACAAGCCATCGTGCCTGGCCACCTCACTCCCTACCCTCGACCCAGATGAATACAGCACATTTCTGGAAACCCAGAAGGCACAAGCCAAGCTACTGGCCATAAGACTCCAGCTTAAAAGGGAGTACCTGCTTCAGTACAACTCCAGACACTGTGCGCCCATCAAAAATCCTGCTTTGACTCACTGGACCTATACAAGGTCAGCACCTGCCTGTTCCAATTTCAGACCCATTCCTAAGACCTCCCTCTGAGGAGCTGTGATAGGAATTGGGCCCCTCTTCTTCTGGCATTAGGTTTTTAAACCTGACAGACATATGGAAGAAAAATAAACCCAGGAAGAAAAACTGTACTGAACATTTAACATCTCATATTAAGTCTGGCAATGATGATTGTATAACATTTTTTAAAAATTAAAAAGGCCCCTTGTGCCCAGTCACTGCCAAATTCTAGCCCCAGCCCCAGGAAATTATTAATCTACAGTCTGTCTCTATAGATTTCCCTTTTCTGGATGTTCCATGTAAATGGAATTGTACAGTATGTGGACTATGGGTCTGGATTCTTCTATTTGGCAAAATACTTTCAAGCATCTCACCCATGTAAATGTATCAGTGCCTTGATCCTTTTTATGACTGACTATATTCCATTATATGGACATATCATGTTTTATGCATCTATTTTCATGTTGGTGGACATTTGGATTATATATACTTTTTGGCTATTATCAAATCACTTTCAAACACACAAATTCTATGGGTTTAGGGTGAGATATTTTCAAAACAATGTGGATAAAGGAAAGAGTTACCGATATTCTTTTTTTTTTTTTTTCATTTTTTTTTTCTTTTTTTTTTAATTTTATTTAGTTACTTTTCAAGTACATTTTTTTTTCCCCCCCGCGATATTCTTAAATAAATCACATACCTTATTTTTAGTTAGTGATTTATTTCAGTAAGTACCTCAATGGAAAGAATAACTTCCAACAAATCTGACAGATGGCATTAGTCCAATTAACAGCATCTAATAGTGCTACATGAGAAAAAGAACACTGGGAAGTTCAGAGCTGTTAATTTTTAGTTTCCCGATACCATCAAGTTTCCTGAGGTTTGTATGATTAAGTACTTTAGGACAACAATTCAGCCCTGGCTGGTGTGGCTCAGTGGATTGAGCACGGGCCTGTGAAGCAAAGGGTCGCCAGCTCGATTCCCAGTCAGGGCACAGGCCTGGGTTGTGGGCCAGGTCCCCAGTAGGGGACACATGAGAGTCAACAACACATTGATGTTTCTCTTTTACTCTTTCTTCTTCCCTTCCCCTCTCTCTAAAAATAAAGAAATAAAATAATTTTTTTAAAAAAGAAAGAATTTCCACTGGGAGGGGGGAGATAACAATTCAGCATGTATATAGATGAAGGACTTTATTTCCTAAAAAAATCCTATTCCCATGTGATATATGAGACAACTGTTTAATGATGTACTGAACTATAATACCTCATTAAAAAAAGTAATTATACCATGAGAGCAAAATAAGTGATTCTTCACGACTAATGTGAAAAAGTACTGTCTGCAGAATACACATGAAGAGTCTGTAAAGTCGTATTCGGAAGCCTATCGTGGGAGACAGACACCAGAGCCTGCCACCTCAGCAGCCATTCCTCCTCCTTTCTCAAGAGAATACCCACGTCTTCATGGCACTTTCAGTCACAGTGGGCAATGTGTTCTCTTCCTTGTGACAACGCACTTCAAAAGGCGCACCTTACAGTCAACAGAGAGTTAGACTCAGTATGACATTTGCCAGGTGCTAGGGATACAGAGTAATGCACAGTCCTCGTCTGTGTGGGGTTCACACCCTGGTAAGGAACACAAGGAAACCAACAACTACAGCACAATGTGACAGTTACAAGGAATGAATGAAACAATGCAACAAAGTCCTATGGAAAAGGAAGAAGCTAACATGAAAGACTCCCACAGGAGATTTCCATACTTTCTGTTTACATTTTGGAAGAATCAGTGGTCCTTTAATCCACTTTCAAACTCTAGTGATGCTTGGTATAGGAATATTCTTTAGCAACCACATACTAAGGAGAACTGTATTTGAATATGGTGACATCAAACGAAGAAAACATTTCCAGAACTGGGAAATGACAGTGTTCTACTAAACAAGTATCTCAGTAACCATCTTACCTGTCTTCTGGCAATTCAACAGGTTTAATCCGGAAGTCTCCATTTACTACAATTTCATGGGCCAGGACCATGTTAGTGACCCCTTTTGCTGTCTCTAGAAGTTCTTCTACTGTCACAAAACGCGGAGGACTGGCTGTAACAAAAACCCAGTGTAAGAGGCTTGCTTTCCCAGATTACAGTTTCTATTAGAATTAGAAGAAAGTGGTTCTGGTACCAGCTAATAATTTTGATTATGCCTATGAAAATATTCTGGCAATTTCGAGCAATAAACATATTATTTTTTTCTTTTAATCTAGAGTCCTAAAAGCAGAAATCACTCACAATACTCAAATCATGTCTTTGCCCTGATGGGTGTAGCTCAAATGGTTGGGCGTTGTCCCTCAAAGCAAAGGTCGCCAGTTCCACTCCCCCTTGCCTGGGTTGTGGGTCCGGTCCCGGTCAGAGCACATGTGAGAGGCAACAGATTGATGTCTCTCTCACACATCAAAGTTTCTCTCCCTTTCTCCCTCCTTTCCCCTCTCTCTAACAATAAATAAATAAAGTCTTATTGAAAAATATTTTTCTAAAACTGGTCAATAGAAAATGGTTACAATAAACTGAGATTTAGGAAAACTTTTACAGACTACCAATTCCCCCAATAAGCTGAGGGTTTATTTTCTAATCCCTTTGCCTCCTATCCATCCGAAATGACAAAAGGAAAACACCAGATTTAAGGTTTCCTGTTTTGTTCCCATGAGCAGCTGACATTCTGCTCTACCACAAACACTGTGCTATGAATGCATCTTCCCAATTAAAACAGTGGTGAGTACTCTGGGGTGCTCAGGACTGTTCACACAAAGGTAAAACTACTACCCTGTACAGACACCAAGAAGGAATGTGAGTTCTAAAGCTGACCAATGAGGAAATCACAGGGTGTGTGCCACAAGTGCTTTGAAGAATGCAGGCTCATTGTATTAAAACCTTGAGACTTCTCTGATCTCTCCCTTTCCACTGCCCTGCTATCCAAGTCCCGCAGATTTCACTTCTGTATCAACTGCTGCAATAGCCTCACAATTGGTCTCCATACCTTTCTCTCCTTTGAAGAAGTTTGAGATTTATCTTCCAGAAAGAAAATTCTCATACGAATCTCTCCAGGTGACCTGAGCCAAGAAACATCGGGTAATTCCTATTTTTCAAATGTGTTTGATAAATACGTGTATTTGTTTTGGTATATCAGTAAAGCTGTTTTTAAAATAAAGCCCATGTATAAATAAAGTTCTTTAGCCTGTAACAGAATTGGGGGTAGGGAATGCTTGTGAAAACTGACTCCTGGGCTCCCCTCTCAGCATTTCTGATTTAGCAGGTCTGGCCTGAGGCCAGAGATTCTGCATTTCTCACAGAAAGGAGGAAATTTCTGATGGTCACAGAAATCATACTTTGAAAAGCACTGGCCTAGAAGAGGACAATATTAATTTTAAGTCATATGATAGGATCTGGGCTTAAACTGAGATAATGTCACTGGTTTGCACAGAGTTTAAGAATCACAAAAGTCTTAGGTTAGGAAAAAGTAATTTTCCTTCCTCTTTCATTTTTTTTTCTTTTGCTTATCAAAAAAAAAAAAGGGAACTAAATCTAAGAGCTGGTCATATCCTGTCTGGTAAAAATTTTTATTTGGTCACATAAGGGGAAGTTGAAGAAAAGCAACAAAATTCTAAGCATTTCCAAAAATATTAATAAAAATAATAAATAAAAATTCCCTCATAAATATTGGAAAAATATAATATGTATCCAAAAATCCAAAATCAAAGCCAAGACAGAAACTCAAGAGGTCAATTTTTGCCAAATTGACCTACTGATTAAATGCAATTCAAGTCAAAATCCCAGCAAGCTTTTGTTAAAATTGCCGAACTGATTCTAAAAGTTATATAGAAATGTACCAGACCTACGAAAGCCAATATTACTTTGAGGAAAAAAAAAAAAGGAATTACGTTGGAGGACTCACACTAACTGATTTCAATACCCCTATAAAGCCATAATAATCAAGACGGTATGTTCTTGGTACAAGGATAAATACATAGATCAACTGAAGAGAGCAAAAGATCCAGAAACAGACTGATATACACACACACATAAGTATACATGTGGTTAATAAGGCAAAATTAGTTTTATAAAATCAAATGTGGTGGGACAATTAGAAAGCAATACATGAGAAAGGACTCTCAGGCCCCTTCTCCCCGGCGGTTAGTGCTGAGAGTGCGGAGTGTGTGCTCCGGCCTCGGAACACACATTTATTATTAAAAAAAACCCCAAAATATTTTAAAATCTTTTTAAAAAAAAAAAACCCAAAATTTATACACACACAAAAGGACTCTCAGCCTTATCTCACATGATAAATGAAAACCAATGCAAAATGGACCACAGACCTAAATATAAGAGCTAACTCTATAAAACTTCTAGAAAAAAACATAGGAAAAATTCTTAGGACACAAAAAGCTCAAAATATAAGAGGAAAAAACTGGTAAACTAAACTTTATCAGAATTCAAAACTTGGGTTCAATCACTCTATTAAGAAATGAAATGGCATGCCACAGATAGGAAGAAATATTTGCAAATGATCTGCTAAAGGACTTATAGTGACAATACAAAAAGGAGTCTTACAGCTCAAAGATACAGTAAAAGACAAGTAAGAAATGGTCAGAAGATCTGAACAGACATTTCTCCAGAGCAGATATACAAATGGCCAGTAGGCTCATGAAAAGATGCTCAGCAGTGTGAGACAACAGAAAATATACAAGTGAGTCTCTACCCTTTGGTTCCTGGCACAAATCTCTTGTAGTTTCTTAAATGCTAAGAACACTAGGAGCATCTCTTGTTCCCATGAGATCACTTCAAGTCGGCCCCTGGATAGCCCCTGGATGAGGGCTAGTCATCAGAAAGCGAGCCATAACTGGCGGTTTGTAATTTCAGCCCCAGCCCTCATCCTCCAGAGAAGGGAGAGGGGTTGGAAATGGAGTTAATAACTGATCATAGCCTTCATAAAATGCCAATAATACGAGTTTCAGAGAGCTTCCAGTTTGGCCAACACATTCATATGGGGAGGGTGATACGCCCCAACTCCAGGGGTCAGAAGCTCCTGAGCTTGGGATCCTGCCAGACCTCACCCTATGCATCTCTCCATCATGTCGTTTATCTGTATCCTTCATCAGATCCCTAAATAAACTGGTAGACGTAGTATCTCCCTGAGTCCTGTGAGATGCTTAAATTAAGCAAATTAACTGAATCCAAGGAGTGACAGCTGGAACCTCCAACCTACAGCAGGTTGGTCAGAAGCACAGGTGATGACCTGGGTTTGCAACTGGCATCTGAAGGTGGGGGGCAGTCTTGTGGGGCTGAGGCCTTAACATAAGAGATCTGATGCTGTCTCCAGGTACACAGTGGCAGAATTTAACTGCCCTGTAGAATACTCAGCTGGTATCACCGAGAATTGGTTGATTTGGAAAGAAAACCCAAGACATTTAGTGATCAAAAGTTAAGTGTTCCGTGTGAGTAGTAAAGGTAACACACAGAAGAAAAACACAAGAGGATGGAGTGTGTTCCCACACAGGTAGAAAACCATAGGTTCTTTCTTTTATAATCAGGAAATGCAAATTAAAACCACACTGAGATACGACTACACACCTGCCAGAATGGCCAATATTAAAGAGACTGATCACACCAAGTAACAAATAGATGCGGAGTGTCTGGAATTCTCACACATAAGCAATGGGGATGCAAATGGTTCAGTCACTTTGGAAATCAGTCTCTTGGTTTTTTATAAAGTAAACCACACACTTTGCACAAAGTAAACCATACACTTTGCACATTACCCAGCAACACCACTCCTAGGTCTTCACCCAAGAAAACCGAAAACATATGGTCGTGTGACGACTTGTACACAAATGTTAGTAGCAGCTTTATTCATAACAGTCAAAATCTAGGACTATTCAAGTGTCTGTCAACTGAAGAGTGGATAAACCAAGTGTATTGTAACCATACAAAGCACTACTACTCAGCAACAAAAAAATGAACAAACTACTGATACATGCAAAGACATGGTTGAATCGTAAAACCATTATCCCAAGTGAAAGAGTCAGGTACAAAAGACTACATACAGTATGATTCCATTTATATGAAATTATAAAATGGGCAAAATTATAGTGACAGAAAGCAGATCAGTGGTTGCCAAAGGATGGTGGAAGGAGGGGATGATTTAGTGACAAGGGGCACAAGAAAATTTGGGGGGGCAATGGAAATGTTCTAGCAGCACATGACTGTGATGGCAGTCAGTGACGCAACTGCAAATGTACTGGTCAAAACTCATCAAACTGCACACTTAAAATTGGTAAATTTTATCATATATAGATTATACCTCACCCCAGCCGGGTGGCTCAGTTGGTTGGAACATCTTCCCACACACAAAAAGTTACACGTTCAATCCCTGGTCAGGGCACATACTCAGGTTGTGGGTTTGATCAGGTTGGGGCGCACACAGGAGGCAAGCAATCAATGTTTCTCTCTCACATCAATCGATTTCTCTCTCCCCCTCCTGACCTCCCTAAGACAATAAATAATTCTCGGGCAAGATATAAAAAAATTATACCTCTGGTTTTTGAATTTGACTAAAAATTAGAACGCACTCAGTAGTGATTTACTATATATACAATAACTATTAAATTTATTCAAGCTAGTATTTCTGTTTCCATTTATCAGAAAATGAAATATCCACTGTGGTATATCAATATCAAGCATCAGGACTTACCAAACTCTTGAGTTCTTAATCTCTTAAAAAGAAATTCAGAGATTGTCACCAGGGCTTCCAAGTTTTGTTTTAACCTTGGTTTTAAAAAAAAAAATCTTCAAATGTCTGATCATCTCTCATTTACAAAATAACAGAAACACACCAAGTCCTCTGAGTAATAAAACCGGGGTCCACTAATGGTTGCTATAATAATGCTGTAACTTTTGTCTTGGCCACTGACACACCATCCAGACTGAGACAGAGCTGGAAACTTCAGGACCACATGAGCCACAGCCTCACTGGCAAGCACCGGAGGCCCCTGGGAGGCTGAGATAATGCTGGTGGCACGCATCATCACAGGATCAGCTTTGACAAATATCACACAGGTTACTTTGGGAGGCATTACCACCTAAAGAGGAACCAGAGCTTTTGCCCAGCTGTCAAACTTGATAAACTGTGGACCTTGGTCAGTGAGCAGACACAGGTACATGCTGCCCCAAAACAAGACCGCAGCCGCTGCTATCATCATTGTGGTGTGATTGGGCTACTACAAAGTTCTGGGGAAGAAAAAGCTCCCAAAGCAGGCGGTCAACATGAAGGCCAAATTCTTCAGCAGAAGAGCGGAAGAGAAGATTAAGGGTGGCCCTGACTGTTGTGGTTCAGTTGGGTGGGTGTCCTCCTGCAAATCAAAGGGTTGTTGGTTGGCTTCCTGGTCAGTGCACACACCTGGGCTGCAGGTGCAGGCCCTGGTTCTGGCACCTAAGAGAGGCAACCAATCCATGTTTCTCTTTTACATCAATGTTTCTTTCCCTCTCTTACTCCCTTCCTCCCCCTCGCTCTAAAAATAAATACATAAAATCTTTAAAAAAGAAAACAGAAAATTAAGGGTGTTGGGGAGTCCTGTGTCCAGGTACCTTAAAGCCAAATGAATGAAGTTCATTAAGTGCTCATACGTGTGTCCCCCCACAACACCCAAAGAAGAATGCTGTGTTGATTAATAAATTACCTGGGTAAGGACTTTGATAATTTTAAAAGAAGTACACCTCAAACACAAAAATGTCTGTACTTCTTCCAAATATGAAGTATTACTGATCATCTATACTTTAGAGAGATAATATCAGCACTGACATTCTTAGACTATGACATTTCCTCTTAAAACTTTCATTTTTTGGACTCACTTCAAAAAGCTTAAGTATTCTTAATAAAAGACATGAGTTGGGGCAACTGCTTGGAATCCATGCAGAAACTGCCACCCTTTCATCTAGGAGACCTGCTCCCTGCCAGGAATCTGAAGTGACTTTACCACGAATGTTCAGCAATCTGAATCCCCTCAACCTGTGGGAACTCAGCCCTCAGGCAATGAACTTAGGGTGTGGTGAAGTCACTCCCATTCAACCCCCCCCCCTTTTTTAAAAACCTGTGCAAGCACAGTCCTGGCTGGAACCTGCCTCAGACTTTTCAAACACTCTTTTAATTAAAGCCGCAATTGTACTCCACCCTCCTACCTCTTTTTTTTTAAGTTTATTTTTTATTGTATTTTTTTCCTATTACCATTTATCCCCCTTATCCCCCCTCCCACCTCCATTCCTCAGAGCAGTTCAGAGAAAGTGGAATGTTATGGAAGCTGGAAGAAGAAAGGAACATTCTGGACATTATTCTAAAATTTTAATTTCTCATGCAATTGAAAACCCACAAGTTGAGAAGCTGTTGCTATTCTTAAATGTTCATTATCGGCAATGAGCATTTAATCATTTCATTAGAACCTAGCTCAAGGCCACATGCACAAGGAAGCCTAATAAAATATCATCTGAAAATAAGATAGTACCACTTCTAACTGAAGTCAAATTCGCTTACAGTGAGGTCTTTGCACTCTTTGGGTGCTAGGAGAGTCCGACTTTATTTTTTCCTGTAAAGCTTCATCAGAGCCTTCTGCAGCATCTTCAAGGCCTTGCTCAGAATCATTTGATTTTGATTTTCCTGCTTCATTTATATTGGATTTGTCAAAGTTTTCAGACATTCTCAATTAAATTTGTTCACTTTCCTAAAAAAGAAAAAAAAATGAACCTAGGAAAGAAAAAAATTGAACCAAAATGTTCTAGCTGTCAGTAGCCAGCAGTGTGACTTGAAGAAAATCAGTAATCTCTTTGGGTTTCAGCTTTCTCATCTGTAAAACAGATAGGCCTGCTAAGATCTCATCCAACTATAATAGTCTGCTTCAATGATTAAACAGATACCTGTAAAATGACACTTGTTATTTATCATATTTATGGACCTGTATCTCAGATAGAGAGTAACAAGTTTGAATATTTTTTGTCTCACTCCTAAGTACCATGTCATGAGAGCACAGGGCTTTAAATTGTTGGAAGATAACACTATAAAGTACCTGCTTATATTTTAATTCAAAGACTGGTTCAATTCTTAAATTCTTTACTTTCATTCCTGAGTGCTGGTAGGAAAACTTTGTAAATAGTGCTTTTAATCAGGCTTCCAAGTGAATACTGTGAGCTGAGGAGTTGGTTTCCTGATCTCATTCTGTGAATAAGACACCTGGCGATGACAGATAGAAGGTAGAATTTTATGAAGCATTTAAAAAGAATGTGTGGGGCAAATAGTCATATTAACTCCTTGCTCGTCAGCAGAAAAAGGTGGTGAGTAAAGCAGGAAGTTGGAAATAACCATCATATATACGTGGTTGGGTGGGGCTTTAATTTTTTCAGTTGCTCATTGGAACAGAAATAACATGCCAGTTTGGGCCAATAAATAAAGGCCTGGAATAGTAATCTCTTATTTACTGTATAAGTTTTTGTCAAGTTGTTCCCACCCTCGCCTGGGCTCCCCCGAGTTTTAGGGTTCTCTTCACCCAAAGTGTTTCCAATTAAGGGAAAAGAAAGATATAATGTTCCTGCATTTACACTACTGAAAAAATTAGTAGTTGTGCTCTTAGCACTTGAAGATCACAAAACGTTTTAATAAACTCTAATTAGACCTTATTACACACCTGGAAGGTAATCCAGGGATCCAAAAGAATGTCGACTGCTTTGAGAAGGTTTGGCAGACGCTTTTCTGCACATGAGAGAAGAATCACTTGATGCAATTATCTGAAATTTTAGATAACTCCATTAAATAGAATAAAGTTACTGGAATTTACATTTTCAGGCCAGTATTACTGATATGAAGATTGCTTTAAAGCAGTTCCCCTTTAACTTCCAACATCTCGCTCCAGACACCCATCTCCTTTCTGTCCTAAATCCTATTTGCCTCTGGAAATGCTCCAAGATCCAAATGATAACAGTACCAGCACATCCTATAAGAAAGGACGCACAAAAACACTTCTAATTTTATCCTCTTCACATGCTGGGAATGAGCTCAGAAAGGATGAAGTAATTCATTCTGTGCGGCAAAGAGGAAGGGCAGGCTTCCCAGGTCTCTAATACTCAGCTAAGTAAACTAACCCATCCTTTTAACGTCGGCTCAAGTCCAAGCTCCTCCCAGGACACTTCCCCATCCTAGGCAGTATTTGCACCTTTCTCTGAACTCCTGTAGGACTGGTTACTAGACGTCTGGCATTCGTCACTGCCTTAAATCCAATTCAAAATACCCTTATTAAATAGTAATAAAAAGAAGAAAAGGCATGGTCTAGAGAAGGAGACAGACATTTTTACAAGGAAACACAGGGGAACTTAAGCCTTAATAGCATTATGAAATCACTAAGGAAATATAGCAGAGGGAGAGACTAATTCTGCTTGGAAGAAGTTGCAATAGCCTTCCCAGAAAAGGGGATATTTGAGCTGGACTTTTTGAAAAGAGTAGGATTTCATCCAATTTAAAAAATGCCTGGAAGGGGAGAGGCGGTGAAAAGGGGGGCATTTCACTCAAAGAGCACAAGGTGAAGCACGAAAATGAGCAGAAGAACAAGTGGCAGGTGCTGAAGATGAAAAGATGGGTTGGGGCCAGATTGTAAAATGGCTAGTTTTTATTTAAAACAAAACAAAACTCTTCACCTAGATTTTTAACTTCTTAAGGGCCAAGATCGACCACATTCCCCCCACAGCCTCCATACCTATAAGAATATCCCCCAAACAGATACCCACTTAGGACGCTGACAGCTGTGTCATCTCTGTGATGTCGGTGTATTTGGGAGGGACGGGCGTTGGTCCCAGACATGCACGGGTTCCAACCCTGGCTCTCTACTGGCTGGGAACTTCAGGTTCCCCATCTGTAAGACGCAGCTAACCTGCACCTTTTCGGTGTGGGGGGAGTTTAAAAGACAGAGCGTGCATAACAACAGACGGCACACAAGTGGTACTTATAGTTACAGGGCTATAGGATGCATGTAATTACTTACAGCGTGCTCATTCATTCAACAATCACCAACTCCTGCTATGCCTAAAAAGGGAATCGAGGGTAGGAGGATTCTCGCACTTGCCGTGAATAAGTCTATCTGAGCTTCACGCCGGGCCCAAGCGGGAAGGGCCTTTCAGCCAAATAAAGGGTCTCCGTCCGCCGACGCCGGGATCACTTCCTCCGGCCCTCAGCGCTACTCATTCCCAGCGTCCAGATGCCGTTGTAAACAACTGTTTGGGCAGGCGAGGGAGTGGCTCCGCCGGGGCCGGCAGCGGACGCGTGGCGCGCCCGGAGGACGGCCTCGAGGGGTGGGACCAAAGCCGCGCTATACCCGCCCGCTGTACCTGCCTCTTCCTCGCCTCCACTCGACATCACCGAGGCCATACGCCACGGGACGAGAGGGCCAAGAACTGCCGGTGATTTCCACCTCGTGCTTCCAGCCTCCAAGCCCGCTGACCTCACCTGCGGCGGAGTCGGCGTTTTCCCGGCTGCTGCCGGGGCTGGGAATGCGGAGGGGCTGTGCCGCAGCGGTGGCGGGAGCGATGCTGGGCGGGCAGGCGGGTAGGCCTTTTGCCTCGCAGGTGCCGTGTCCCTCGCCCGCTGCCGGCCCTGCCCCGGACCGGGCTCTGGTGGGTAGCGGCCGGCGGGGTCGCTCCTAAGCGGCGGGAAGGGGAGGCAGTTGTTAACCGGCAGGTGCAAGCCCCACGTAAGGGGGGCGCCATGATTCCGTACGCAAGGGCCGGAGGCGGGGCTCCAGCTGGGAGGCGCCATGTTTCCGTACGGAAAGGCGGGCGTTGCGGGCGTGGCGGGTTGGGGGAGAAGGACCGTGAGGTGGAGGAGGTACAGCGTCAGACAAGTGAGGGGAAAGGTCAGCCTGCTGCTCCGCAACTGGGTTCAAAGCCTTCCCGCCCAGGTTTTCAAATTTCAGTTTTACTTCATGTGTGTAACGTGTGTTATAGGTGCGCATAGTTTATATTCCTTCCCCCTCATTCGGGCTGTTAAAACAAGTGGTGGCCACCGCCTGGATAGCCAGGCGACCAGGCAGGATAGTGAGAAGCCAGGAAAATTCCTTGGTAAGGGAATAGGGAAACAGCCAAACAAACTGGCCAAGCCATTTATAGCCAGGGACAGGAGGTCGCCCCCAACCCCTCCTCGCCCTTCCAGTGACATCTAGGCCTCTGCTGTATTTCAGCTGCAGGCCCAGAAAAGCAGCAAAACCAGGTGGGCAACACCAGGACCAGCTGCCCTGGCGCTGACCCGTCAGTGAAGACCACAACCCTCAAAGAGCACACCTGGGAAACAGTTATTTTCTGGAATCCTCATCTCCTAGGACCCCTCCTAAGATTATCTCCTGCAAGAGAGAGAGAGAAAAAAAAAAAAAACCCTGAAGACTAAGGACCCAGCCTATGCCATTCTCCCCCCCTTCTCCTTCCCATTCTTCTTCCCTGATAGGCACGCTTCTCCTAAACTCAGGGCCGCCACAGCAGTTGCAACCAGAGGAGCAAGGGGCGGCGGCAACTTGTCCCAGGCCACTCCCCTGAACCTGTCCCCAGAGCCCCCTTTTCTCTGATGGTCCAGTGATCTAAGGCAGCCCAGCCTAGGCTCTCCTGTTGCTTCTTCTGTGCTAAGCCCCTCCGTGTTTACTGGCTCCAGTTTTAATCAATATTCCCTCGTAGGCACCTGGGGGAAATCTTTTCCCACATGAAATCAAGAACCCACACTCTACCCGCTAGCTCTAGGCAGACCCACTCAAGGCCAGGCCTCCTGTCTGGTAACAGCTTTAATGGCACAGAAGAGGTTTGGTTTGGGGGTCATCTCTTATATTTAAGTGGCTGCTACACTTTGTGTATGGGAAGAGCAAGGTATTAGCCCTGAAAAGACTGAAGGCAAGGGGGCAAATGGTTCCATGAGGGTTCAGCTCGGGTTAGGTAGTTCATAAACACAGGGAGCCCTCGGAGCATGTATTCCATCTGAATTCTAGAAAGGAAAACTATGTTAGGCCAAGCTCATTTGGGGGCTTCATTCTCCTCCATTTCAGGTAGTGGGGGTTGAAATGATCACAGGGCTATTCCAAGGAAGCCATGCTTCCCCCCGCCCTTCTAGCAGTAAGATAGCAAACATGGATAGTCTTGGTGCCTAATCATAAAAAGCAAAAGGTATGTAATTCTTTACTGTTCATTTGTAAAAAATACTTTTAAAGCTAAACATAAACCGCATGTGCATTAAACAGAATAAGGTAATAATTGTCTCTCACCTAAGGAATTAGAACAAAACAAGATGGAGTGAAATTGGTGCTTTCGAACACTACTAAATAGATCACATGTGGGCAGTTTTTGCTAACGTACTGAAGCCTAAGAATGCAGTACAATGCCCTCTAGCCATTTACTAAGTAGCACATTATTTTCCCCTAAATACACATACACGTCCTCAGATGAGTATTCACTAGGAGGAAAAAACCCTCAAGATACTCAACTAACTGGAACTAAGATTCACAAAGAAAACATTCAGTTCTCGGGTCTGAGTCCAGGTTGATGTACCATGGAGTCTCCATATTAGTGGTTCTCAACCCTGACTACACCTTAGAATCTCCTGGGGCAGTCTAAAACTATCGTCTTAAGTTGGTGTGTGTGTTGGGGGGTGATACCAGGCCAGACTTTTTAAGGTTCCCAGGTGATCTAAGATATAGCCAGACTAGAATCACCTTCCTAGCAAGATCTACCTCCTACCTTCAGGCTCCTAGTGAGAGTGCCCTACCTTCTTTGGATTAATATAAACAATTTTGACATGTGGAGAGGACACTGTGACAATACAAAAACCACTGATTGGACTTGGAATGGCTTGTAACCTTTTGATATGTTTTAAGTTGTTCCTTTAAATACTGAAAACAAATTGGCACACACTTCAGTCTTGGCTGCAAAGACTAGAAACTCAAATTGCCTCAAGGTAAAGGGAGTTCACTGCAAGGCTGCATAGGCTTTGGGAGGAGAAAGCTGGCAGCTGCTCTACAGATCAGTGCTACTCTGTCATCTCAAGGCACACAGGGTGTCTCATCACATCTCTGCTTCTTGCTGCAGTGTGCTTCACTCCTCTCTCTACACTACAGATTTGCTGTTCCCTCATAGTCTAGATTTTTATATACAGAATTCGATGGACCAAGATAGTTTTGTGCAAAGTCTATCTCATTTGACAGGTAGTCTGTCTCAGCTAGGTTGGTGGTGAGTCTCACAGACACCTGAATATCAGGTGTCCCCAGGAGGGCATTCTGAGTGAATGAGGGAACACAGCAAATGATTGACAGTTCTCCTGATACAGGAGGGTTGCCAAGGCATTCAGGATACCACTGACAGTGCTTGCAGTAAACATGACCAGTATTTCTGAAAACTTGATCCTATTCTTGATTATGATGTTTGAGGTCAACTGTGGTTTTACTAGATTTTCCATGAAATTATCATTATTAGAATGCTATTTTTTTCTAGGACCGTGAATATAACTAGGCATTTAGTTCCTCATTACCCTGAAGGAGAGGTGTTAGTTTTGGCTGCCAAATAATCATGCCATTTGATTATGTGCAAAATAAAGGTTGCAAATCAGGCAGTGCACACACAGTTGCTCTGCAAACTGTGGTTTCACCACTTTCAGTGGTTTGTTTCTGAAAACTTCCTCACATTGAAACCATGAACTATCTTCTCCCTCATGTCACTTCATTGCAGAGAGCTGCCTTCCCTTCTTGACTATGCAAACAAAAAGCTGACATGAAGTTATGAATTTCTTTCATGTAGACTGTCAGTTATATCTTATTATTTATGGACATGCTAGCATATTGGTGCATCATTTTAGTTTTCCCTTTCATGAAAAGTATAAGTTTAAGTAGATGAAATTCAGTCTCATTCGAAGTTTTTTTTAAAGATTTTATTTATTTATTTTTAGAGAGAGGGAAAGGGAAGGAGAAAGTTAGAGAAACATCAATGTGTGGTTGACTCTCACATGGCCCCCACTGGGAACCTGGCCTGCAACCTAGGTATGTGCCCTGACAGGGAATCGAACCAGTGACACTTTGGTTCCCAGCCTGTGCTCAATCCACTGAGCTACACCAGCCAGGGCTCGAAGTTTTTGGTTTTATTGTAAGGTCAAACAACTTCCAATTGTATTTTATTGCTTGTATATTTACTAAATATATCTTGACAGTCCAGTAGTTCCAAAATAATCATTAACATGGATAAAAAGATGTTAAAGATTTTAGCTCTAATGACCAAGAAATATACGAGTAGATATGGACAAGTGACCAGGCTAAGAGGGAGGGAGGGAAAGATGAGAGAATAAGAGGAGAAGGAATAAAGAAAATAACCTATAGATTAAAAGACACTTAAGAAGCACATTAACCAATTGCAAATTTTGGACCTAAGTTGGATCCCTATTTTAATAAATTGTGAAAATCATTTAAGACAAAAATTTGAACACTGACTGCACATTTGATATTAAGGAATTGTGGGTCTGTGTATGTGTGATACTGTGGTTATCAATGTTCTTATCTTTTAGTCAAACATACTGGAATTTATAGATGAAGTTACAAGATGTCTGAAATTTGCCGGGGTGGGACCGAGGAATGGGTGGGGGTATAGATGAAACAAGACTGGCCATGAGCTGACAGTTGTTGAAACTGGGTACGTGGGTGGGAGTTCAATATTCTATTCTCCATATATATATTTGAAATTTTCCACATAAGTTTTAAAAGATGGTGAAGTTTTCAAAAGCATTAGGAAAGTTCAATTTCTGACTTGTCTACAGTTTATGGTAATTAGCGAGTTCATAAAATCTTGTATCATTAAGGAAACCTGTTAAGATACAAACCACACTCCTATTTATGATTATGGAGATCATTATTGTTTAACACTTTCTTATGTAAACACTACAGTGTCGTATCATTAAATTCCTATGATGTTCTGATAATGTATTGTGCACAATTATAAATCAACTCCCCTAAGAGAATACTTAACAACAATACTTAACAGCAATATACCTTCTAATAACTCAGTTTCAGACACAAAAGGTCATACAAAAAAAGTTTTATTAAGTACAGTTTCATATTTAGAAGAACATTCAAAATTACAAATGTGATTATATCTTTAGGATTCATAACTTTTAAAATACACAAGTTATATACAGACATTAGAAACTCAGTCTCCAAAATACTCAATAAAGATGTCTGGGTGACACTTATAAAATTGACCTAACAATTTTTTCTTCTCTTTGGCAGGCAGTTTTGGATCCTTATCAATAGTTTTTAATAAATTCAATAGCTCATCCTTGGTTGTCTTCTGTGTATGGTCAGAATAATCACTTTGATCAATTCTCTGGCAAAATATATATCCTTAAATATTAAAAGAAAAAAGTTCAGTTAATGAATCGATTCTTGAGATTTAAGTACAAAAATCAAGCAATATCTTTATGTTTATGTTCCCCATTTTGTAAAAGGCACTGAAGATGCTGAGCACTGCTGACTTTCTAACCCTGGTCAAGCGGTTTTTGAGCAGAAGGCTCTCTGCTCTTTGAGGAGATTGTGTAAAGTGTAATTGTAATTAAAGTACAACTACTAGCAAAACACTTTCAAATAAATAGTAGGAATATATCTTTAGAAGATTATGAAAATAATATTCTTCAGATTACCTGTGTCTCTGTTTGGATCTTTTCCATTCTGAATGGCCATGAGCTTAACACTGACAATTTTATGTAGAGTTCCAGGAATCTTTAAAAAAAAATAGAGAAAGAAAAAGAAGGGACATCAGACATTATTCAAATTCATTTTAATCTAGGGATCTATTACATAAGCTCAAATTAACTATCATAGTTTTACCTTAAAAACATCTTTTTGATGATCCATTAAAAAGAGTACCAGAAGATCAGTTTTGCCTTTAGATAAATTTTTATTGTCAACAATAGCTTTTGAGAATATCCTTTTCACAACCATTCGGTTGTCACTCTATAAAAACAAAACAAAACATGCCTAATGGTATATATTTAAAGATTCAATATAAAAGGCAATATTAAATATTCATAGCTATTACCCATTTCAACATACATGATGCTGATGATGGAATAATCTGACACTTGGGTCCTATAGGTATTAAGGATACTGAATACAATTAACATTTAGACAAAAGACTTACTTCTTTCTGTAGTTTAAATTCAGAGTGATGTGCTGCAACAGCCATGAAATACAGTAGCCTTCTAAATTCTTCTCTGTTTTGGGAATCCAGAAGCTTTATAAAGAGCTGAGTAGCTTCTAATGCTATTTCAGTCTTCCCATTCACTTTAGCCAAAGGAAAAGGTACTTTTAATTTTGACCAGATAGGACTATATTAAAGGGAACAATATTCAAATGAAAGCTTAAGCTAAAAAGTAAACTTAAAACAACTTTCAAAAGTAAAAACAAAACAAAATGACTAGGATTTACAATAAATGACCAATACCATCAAGGAAGAGTATTTTCAAATTGGTAACTAATACCCTAAATCCTTGTAATATAATCATTTTAGGAGGTTAAATCTAACTCCTAGCTTTGTACATAAATTCCCAGCCTATTTTTCATTATTCAATATATTCCAAGGGTACACTATTTGTACAGTACTGATATATCCAATTCTACCTGAGAAAAATAGGATCTCCGAATCCCCCAATTTCTTTTCAGTAAACCATGTGGAACAGTCTGGTTTATGGGTAGAGGGACAAAGCAGAGTGTCTGCCATTCTGAAGAGACTGAGGGGGGAGTGGTAGTGGTACTGGTGGTATTGCTTTCGAAAGAAGAGAACTGCTCCTCTGTGCTCAATAAGCTTCCAGTGAAAAAGAGCAGCATTCTCCTGTGGCCACCAGAAGTTGGAGCTAACTTTATAGCTTATTGAAGTCTTTTTCCAAATGGTCCCTGTAAGTTTTGGAATAAACATGCTTTCTGTGAATCAATGCAGATCCACTCTCAGCTTAAAGTTGTACCATTCTGATTAATTTTGAGGACAATTAACTTTTTCTTGTTTCACCCAAAAGACAAATTCTAGTATCCGTTAAGATCTTCCTTACCTAAGAGTTCTGCAATTCCATTATGAACATCACATAAGTGATTTAACAGAGGTTCCCTGTTACTGTAATATTGGCCAATGGCATTAAACAGAAGTTCTTTAACTAAGTCTATTCTATCTGGTTGCTCAGGAAAGTTTCTGCTTATGTCCACCACCATCTGGTCTGGAAGGTATTCCAAGCAGTCAGTTGCTGCAGAGAGCCACTCATCTTCCCTGTGAGGGGGGAGGAGAGGAGGAAAGAACCGTTTTAAAAAGCAAAGAGTAACATATACATACAGTTCCCAATTTACTAGCTATTTCAAGTTTGCCACCAGGATAAACTTCTACACACTTAGATAAATTTATGTATAACTATGTTAATATATAGCTAGGTCACATATCATGGATAAAAGGTGTTGCTTATTATGTATGTTCTTTTTCTTACATTTTAAAAAAGCGACAACACAGAAGCCATCCAGTACAATATAGAACTGAAAAGGACATCAAAATTCACATCTATTCTTTACCTTTACAGCGGAGACAAAGAAACTCTTAAGTTACTTGCTCTAAGGGTCCCAGGCAAGACTAGAGCCCAGATCTGACTTCTAGACCACTGTTTTTCTAATATAATGTTTCACTGCAGAGCTTTGGGTATGACCTATCATCTCCCTAGGCTAGGAGAGAATAGACAAAGATAAGGCAAGGTTGCAGAATAATTAAATATTAAATACCATTTCTAATAAAATACCAGCTGGATAACTTCAGAAAAATGCTATAATTCAAGACATAAAATAACTTCTAATATTCAATTTGTTAAAATATGTGGTCCAAGAAAAGATTCATATACTCTACTCTCAGGACAACTAATCTACCCTTGCAGAGGCATTATTGTGGGCATCACCTCTCTGGGTACCAGTTTCATCAAGTTCATAGTAAGACTCAGCTAGACAATCTTTAATGTTCCTTGTAGCACAATTTCTGATTCTGTATTTAATTTTAAGGTAATGTTTTCACGTTACATCAGATTGAAGAAATGTAATTTAAATTCTTATAGAATAATAGGCTTCCTATTATACGTGCAGAGTTAAATGACTAGTATGTAGGGATTAACTTTTTCACGTAAGGTTTTTAAGCTAGCTTTTGTTTAATCGTTCATTGAAATGTAGAGCTGGTAAAGTACTAAAAATGTAAGTTTTTAGTACTTCCTAACATTTCAGTCTTCCTAACTACTGGAACACTATCTGTTAAGGCAAAGCACTGAAAAGTCAAAGAAGCTTAAAAATATAAGATTTTAACCTTTAGTAATTTTATTTAGGAAAGGAGCTTCGAAGTTATAAGGAATATAGCATTCTTCCTTAAGGAAATAAAAAGCATAATTCTTTTATTACCTTAATTTAAGCCTTTAAACCTTAAGATTTATATTCAGGAGAATAGTAGAGGTGAGCACAAAAGTTACTTGCATTATATTTCTTTAATAAAACTAATTAATTTAGCCCTGGCTGGTGTAGCTCAGTGAATTGAGCATGGGCCTGCAAACCAAAGGATCACAGTTTGATTCCCAGTCAGGGCACATGCCTGGGTTGCAGGCCAGTTCCCAGCAGGGGACCCACAAGAGGCAACCATACATTGATATCTCCTTCTCCCCTTCCCTTCCCCTCTAAAGATAAATAAAAAAAAAAACCTTAAAAAAAAGAATTGCTCAATTAAAAAAAAGCCTAAAATTAAAAAAAAACTAGTTAATTTAAAAAGACATTTAACACCTATTATAGAAGCATATAAAAGCATATGTGGTCAAAGAAGACAAAGGATTCTAAGAATCTGCCAAATCTGTTCATTTTTTCCAGGTTTCTTTGAAGACCAGGCATCTCAAAGAGACCAGACAGACCTACATTTTAACAAAGAAGATGGAGAATAATCATTTTCTTCACTTGATGTACAAGTAAGTTATGTGTGAAACAAAAATGAATATGAAAAATAGTGAAATATAAATCACTTTTTCTAGTTTTACCAAGATGATTTTGTTATTTACTTTCCAAATGCTGATTAATATCAACTGACAATGCATATCTGATTGTATGGATGGAAGAATTCAAAAGATTATGTTAAACCATTAGCTATGATCATTTTAAAGCACACTCGAATTATTATATGTATTTCCACATACTGAGAGTCACCATAAGCCTTGAGAATCCCTCGATCCAGATAGTTACTGTTGTTGACCAGGTCAGGCTGCCTCTTAGGTAGAGGAACTTTAGGTACAACCTCCTGGTGTTTGAGTAAGGAGTCAAGCAGTGGAAGGTCTACAAGTTGTAGTAAACGCCCAATGGTTTCTTCTTGCCATACTTCATTAACAACTACACAGGAAAAATGAGAGGGTGAAAAATAACAATAGTCACTAAATGTTCACCACAAATTTGTGTAGGCAGGTCTAAGGTAATAAATTTGTGGCAAATAGAGAAAGAAAGAGACAAAGAGTCAACCTTATGAAGTGGTTTTTTTAAAACAATTTAAGATTTGTTTGTAGGAGAACAGACTTTGGACAACAGGAATTCTTTTCATTTTTGTACTATAAAAAGCAATATGGCAGAGATAAGCCATCAAGTCATATAAAATGTTAATAAGGACTCTGGAAGAAAGAAGGATTCATTCATTCTGAAAACTGGTTTGAAACTCTTGGCTGCAAATTATTCCACTCAGGGATGGGGGAGGGAAGGTAGAAATCAGTCATTAAACTATATTCCATTCCTACAGAAGAAGAAGAACATAAGATTTAGGTGACTATTTTAATGTGACTTCCAATTTTTTATTTAACCTAATAAAATCTCAGGGAAAGAAATATCTGAGAACATTTTTAAAATAGAAATCCACATGCAAAACAGTTCAGATCTGAACCTCTGCCAGCTGATAGGACAAAAGTCAGTGTTCAAGAATTGCAACACTGATCTATTTGTTAAAGATAATAGACTTCTGTTAAAACTTAATATAAACAGCTTTAATACACAGTGCACTCTTTCTTTGTCCTTTGCATATTTAAATTCTAGAAAGGTTAAGATTGAAACATTTTAAATAACTTCATTTGAAGTTAGTTTTCTATTTCTTACTTGTACCATCTTTACCTTACCTTGTGGAGACAGAGTTGCAGAGAGATTTACATGAGGGGAGTTAGCTGGCTTTAAACTCAAATTTTCCCAGAGATCCTCTAAACTTGCCGATTTTATATCAGATGATTTAAATAATGTATCTGTAAACCTAAAATGAATTATTTCATAAATGAATGTTTATTAGTAAGCCTACAGAAATATTTCAGTATGCAAGAGCCAAGAGTTTCTGGAAAGTTTATGTGTTTCAGAGCAAAAACACACCAAAGCAAATTCTAAAAATAGAATAAAATACAAAACATCCCACCTTTTTCTAAATCAAGTCTAAATATACATACACTAAATTCTCCTTTGAAAATTTAGACTCAAGTAATTCAATGAATAAAATTTAGTCAGAAACAGACATACCTGATAAAAACAGTAAGCATACTAAAAATTTAAAAAGCTTTACTAGGCTCACTGTTCTTATCAGGTATGTCTATTTCTGGGACATTCTTTGGTAGACAGTGCTAATCTTTTTCCAAATAATTTCCAAAGATCTACATCCTTTATCCCCAATTCTGAAACCTTAGAAAAATCTTTAGTTTGTTTAGAGCGCATTTGATGACAAAAGCTGAGATTACCACCACAGCTTTTATTTATACCAGTTAGTATGAATATTTTGTTTACTGCAAAAATATTAACAAGCTGATTAACAGATGCTACCCTAGATTACTCTAGGGGTGTTATCTCTTATATGTGTACAAAATGCCTTTCTAAAATCTCCAAAGGTCCAAATGCCTAAATGCATGAGTCAGGTAACAGAGTTTTCACATATGAAAACCAATGTGGAAGGGAAGTGTTGACTATGCCCCACCTTATCCTCATATCTGCTTCCTGCATACAGTGGCAAATTTTACCATGTTTTAAGTATAGAGTTTTAGCCCTGGCCAGGTAGGTCAGTTGGTTAGAGCATTGTCCTGATACACCAAGATTGCAGGTTCAATCCCTGGTCAGGGCACATAGAAGAAGCAACCAATGAATGCATAAATAAGTGGAACAATAAATTGATGTTTCTCTCCCTCTTTCTCTCTCCCTTCTGTCCCTCTAAAATCAATAAAAGAAATTAAATAAAATAGAGTTTTAAAATATTTGAAAGTCAATACACCAAAACTCTGACTTTGGGTCAGCTCTGAATTATAAAAGCTTCAATTACCTCTACATAGTTTAGCTGAGAATAAAAAAGTTTGGTTTATAACAAATAACTCAGTTCGTTATATACTCATCACCTACATCCATTCCAATCACTGGGCTTTATAGTTCTGTGCTACACTCTACCTTTAAATGATTCCCTCATCTCCACTACTTTTGCTTCTTCACCCTCATCAGTAGACTGCAGTGTTGCCATAGATTCTGAACTAGCTGTACCCCTTAAGTTGACATATAGCTGCCAGGATGACCCTTCTAAAATGTAATCTCATCGTGCTTAAAATCTTTCTGTGGCCTCTCAAAATGGTATGATGGAGCACAGACTCTTTAAAATGTCATGTGAACCCTATGCGTTCTGGCTCCCACATGCCTTTTACACTTCACATCTGCCACTCTGTGGAGGCTAGTGATACCCGACCTGCCTGCCTTCACCTTCTGTGTTCTCACACCACTTTGTGCATAGACTCTCTACCATTTTTGTACATGATAATTGTAACTTGAAGCAGAAAAAAAGTTTGATTGTTCATTATTTTATATTTAGCAGAAACATAAATAAAAGTCCACTCTACTTTATCAAATATATCCACAGACCCAGATTTTTGCCTAATTTACTAATTCAAAAGGAACATAAAGCCAGTCAGCATCTCTTTAAAAAGTAGACAAAATCCTGCAGAATCCAACCCCATGACACTCTTACATTGTGTACTAACCTGGAAGGTGAATGTAGCTCATTCTCTTTGCCAAACTGACTGTCTTCGTTAGGTATTGTTGTGAATCTATAAAGGCTGCAGCTACTATCTTCAAATGTAGGTTTCTTGTCTTTTCTAAAGACTTTGGTTGGAACTGCTTCAAATACTTTGTAGTCCATAAGTGCTTGACATACTCTTACCACTTTGGCCCGAGGAATGTCCACATCACCAAAATATTTATTCTGAATTAGGTGAGAAAAAATGACATCTACAGCTTCCGAACCAACAAAGCAGTCATTGTGTCTTTTTAAATGGTGCCTCCGTTTTTTCACCTCCACTTGTGTCCGAAGAGTGTTTATAATGCTGCCCCACACATATGTGGCTCCGAAGGGTTTCTGGGCCACACTGAAACCTGGAGTAGGAAAAAAAATCAGAGTAACCTTATTCATTTGTGATAAGTAACCTTATCACAATTCATTTGTGATAAGGTCCAAGCAGACCTTAAGCAAAAAGTGATAATATCCAAAGTTATTAATCAGAAGCAATTATGATGTTAGCTTATTATTAAAATACTGAATTATTAGTAACAATTCACTTAAAAATTTAGTTTTTACCATATGCTAAACACTGACCTATGTGCTTGCATACAGCAGTGAGCAAAGCAAAAACAAAAAACAGTCCCTGTTACGGATTTATATGTTATGGGAAGATACAGACAATACATATGTGAAATATCAATGGTGAGAAGAAAAATAAAGCTAGTTAAGGAAGAGAATGCTATTTTAGATGGGATGTCAGGAAACACTTCTCTGATAATGTGATGAGTTTCTGGGCACCATTTTAAAACCAAGGAAACAAGCTGTGCAGATATCCGGGGAAAGAGCAGAGAGAACAGAAAGAGCAAAGGTCTTGAGAAGAGGAAGGAGACCGGCCACCGTGGCCTGAGTGGGAGACCCAGGGAGAGAAGAGGAGGAAGTGAGATCAGACCGAAGTGGAGATGGGTTTTGGGGATGGGAGGGTGCAGATCATGTAGGATCTTGTGGCAGTTATCAATTATGTGAAAGGAACTCTATTAAGTGCCTTGCATAAAATGATCTAATTTTCACAGCAACTCTACTAGGCTTCTATCTTTTTGAAAGATAGAAAACAGATTCACAGAGGTTGAGTGTAATTCTAGACATTGTAAGAGGTGATCCTAAGATTTGGCCTATGTTCTATATAATTTTATTTATTTTTTCTCTGCATTCCTACCCCCATGTTCTATATTAATTTTAAAGCATTTATCAATCAGATAGATAGAACAGATAGAGGTAGTTACAGATACACACACACAGTTGTTGGAATAAACTAATACTTTTAAAGCTTCCTACTATGCAGCCTTATGAGTTAAGTACATTGTAAGCAGGGCAAACTAACAGTTTAGTTTCTGCCCAATAGGAGCCTATTGCAAAGATAAGCACAGAAATAAAGCAAGATTTTAGCCTAACAAAAAAGAAAACTTGCTTTCAAAGATTTCTTATCATATTTTCCTACATTGTAATAAACTGATATTTGGCAAAGCTACAAAGAAGAAAAGGAGAGACCACTGAGAGGAAAGGAAATGGACCTTGGGTTTAGTAAGCCGATGGAACCGTCTAGCTAATTGTCCTTGTGGCTGGCTGGCTGGCTCTTTGCTTTCTCTCTCTTTTTACATAAACAGACTATGCCTTTTTATGTGCTATACTTTTCAGTGATCCTCTGAGTATTCATTCAGTGGTTCTAATTTTTTAAGTCCATTTTTGTTAAGTGTATTACTTCCTTTATTTTTAAGATATTTTGACAGAGAAGTTGAAAACTTATTACTTCCCTTAAGGGAATCTAAGATGGAAAACAATATGCATCACTACAACAGTAAGGAATAAAGGGAATTATAACTAAAGAAACAGCTACTGGACATTACCTTTCTGCCTTCTTAGATAAAACAG